TGTTTGGTATGCACTTTTAATTTCTCTGATCTGTTTGGAATAAGTTCAAAAACAAACTTTTATAAATACAACAAATCTCCTGAATGTACTTTGTGTCTGCAGGAACAACATACGTTTGAATACATTTTTGACCATGGCTGTGTATCAGTGAGTGATTCAGTAGGTATGGTGTCAGTCCGTCAGTTGTTCATACACATGTTGCGATGCTAATTTGACACGTATATCCAAACTTATCTTACATGAGGATCCTCAGCTTGACTATAATGGAAAAACATTTTTTCGCAGTCTTGTGGTTAATCAGGGTCATTTAATGTCTACAGGAGATTAAGTGTTAAAACAGGCATGTTTGTACATTGAATTCAGGAAATAATCAGATAGACGTCTCTTTGCAGCTACTTTTTCTTCTTTTTTCTTAAAGTCTGTAATCTTTTGTATGTCAGCGCAGACTAATCCTAAAAAACCCATAGAAAGACATGCTGACATTAAGCTCATTAAAAGTTAGTTTCTTTGCACAGTGATGCGAATGAGATGACAGTCTGCAAAGTTTAAGTCACGCTTTGTTTACTTACTGATTAAAACTCAACTGATTAAAACTCAACTCATCTATTTTTAAAGCCCAATCACTAAAACCATTTTGCAGTGCTCAGCTTCATGCAAAACTTTCCTCTTGATGCTAAATGTCCTACAAGCAAGAAATGTAACAGTTTCTCAACTCAAATGTCAATGAAAGTACTGTTAAATGTAGCGTATATTTAAATCCACAAGACATTTACAGTTTACAAAATGGCAGACTTCCAACAAGAATTGGATTATAGAGCATCCTAACATACGGTGTTCGGACCTTATGTTTACTATAAAACAAGAAAAATCTATCCCACTGCAGAGCTTATTGAAAAAGTTCCAAACTGTAAAGTCGTTTATCTCACTACCACGTTATTGTATTTTCTTATTCCCTGACGTTTTGGCAATAAAAGGGTTTTAATCCCCATATAGCATGGATGTAATTATTTCCTCCGCTGCAATAAAACCTAAAGATAGAGAACACTGTAACGGAGCAAATACTACACAGAAATCACATGGACACAAAGCACATAAAGGATTGTTAGTTTATCCAAAACAATAAAACAGGGCTTTAACTGGCCCCACGTAGTATTTCCTCCTTAGTGTACTGTTTCTCTGCTCTGGGTTTATTTCTCATAAGGATGTTGAAGAACACTTAACTTCAGATCGATAATGTTTCTGCCTCAGGGCTCGCCTTTGTGTCCCAGTGGAGCTCAGGTCAGCTCCTTGAAGTTCAGTGTGTCTCATCAGTATGCAACACAACACCACATTTACATTACAAGTGTTTGGTCAGCTTTTATAAGAAAGAAAGACTCTGCTGCTTTATTCTCCTGCTATTTAGTAAAGCGAGAAAACCAGCGTGGCACAGAGCTCGAGTGCTCTTCGATCTCATCTTTACAAATTGCTTCAGAGTGCAGAGTCAGGTAAACAAACAGGAACAAAAGGATTACCTGCGCTCATTGTAGTACTGAATATAAGACTCCAGATTAGAAGCTCTTTATTAAGTTGTACAACTTCAAACCTGTTGTAACAGCTGATAGATCCATTGTGAAGTGTGTGCTAACATTGTCTTGATGCTATAAAAAGCAATCTAGCTTGTGAGTTCCCCCCCCCCCAAGACTTTCAGAATCATGAATGATCCTACTAATACATTTCTTTCCCACTCGTTTGTGTGCACAAGTGTTGGACTGAGATAAATGGCCCACCCTGTTTGTTGTTGTTTCATAACTGCTTACTTGGACATGGATCATCAGTAACTTCTCACACACATTTAAGTATGGCATAAACACACACACACACACACTAGTGCACACAAAGAAGGAAACAGGCAGTAACAACATGATTAATTTGGGAGGCTTTTTTGGCCACTGCAGAAGTGAACACTACAGTGCACAGCAGATGGAGGGAGTGGGAGGTACAGGCTCTGAAAATGTTGTGGATCTGGAGGTTTCACAGGTGTACCAAAGACATTTATTATAGAGGAAGAAGGATGGAGGCTCTGTGTGTGTGTGCGTGTGTGAGACGGCACATAAACGTGTGTGGTTCTATTTTTGCTGCAGGGCTACTCAGCAGGCTTGTCTCTGTGAGTCAGGGTGAATGTCGTGGCGGTGACATACAGACACACTGACAGAGGAGACGAAGGGTCAGCCTGATGCATCATGGGAAAGGTTGAGGGAGAGCACATCTTGACACAAGTGGACATAATAGGTGGTGCTTTGAAGTGGGTTGTTATTTTCTTAAAACTTTTTTCTTTAATTAAAGAATTGCATCACTTGCATTATTTTATGCATATTGTATTAATGATGTAAATCTGGTTTACATAATGTAATTATGCGAAAACCTCTAATCTTATGGCAGGATTATTGTTATCTCCAGTTTTACTGACAATGTTTCTTTTATATTTTAAAGATTTTAACTTTACTTACATCCTGGATTTAAATATGTTATTAGTGATATACTGAAGCTTCAGTGAAGTACGAGCGAATACATAAAATGTGAGTTTGTCAACAAGAATCCAAACTGCAAAAAAACAAAAAAATCCAGGCGGCACATTAAACAAATCAATAGATAGATAGATAGATAGATAGATGACATTTGGGGAAAAAAATGCAGGACTAAAATGTACCTATTTAAGCTGAAGAGTGAAATGCATCCTGGGAAATGATGTAGGCTCTCTGGTTCATGAATGTGTGAGTCAGTGGTAAGTTCTGTGTAAGGTCAGAAGCTGAGCTGAACACGTCACCACAGACGTTTCTTCTGCTGCTACCTATAGCTTACAACTAACAAACCAGGCCATCCTCCAAAAAAACATGGCATGTTGTTGTCTTTGCTTGCATCTAGTGTCTGTGGCTATATTAACAGGAGAAAAGCTAAAGGAGGAGCAAAAGAAGTCCGCTGACACAGCTAAGAAAGGAAGCTGTAGTGAATAAAATAAGCAATGCACAAGTCTTTCATCTGGAGGGAAACATGATTATTTACCAGCTAATCAATAAGCCTCATGTACAGCCTGTTTGGCTTTGATAACTTGACATTTTCCAGCTTCTTGCTTCTCTCTAGCCCTACCCTGTTGTCCAAATATGGCTACTACAGGCTCCAAAAAAAAAACAAGATAGTGATGGTCTAATTATCGGACTCGCATAAAGGAAGTTGACTAACCAAATGGTGACGTAACGCTGACTACCTCCATACTTATGCAGGCCTAAACAATGATATTTATCTACTCAAGCACTTTTAGTGCCTGAATAACCACACAGTTTGTCTTAACCTGTCACTGGTAGGCTACTTGAGGATTTGTAAACAGAAGCAATTGTAAAAAAAAAATCTGAAGGAGTGGGTGAGCTTTAAAGATGGCGGATAAATACAAACCGTGTTTTAATAATTGCGATGCTGTAGCACGCTGTGATTGGACAGTTTGATCCATGTCAGCTGGCCATTCATTTTCTCCTTTCTCTTCTTCTAATTCTCTGTATCGGCATTAATCTTTCTCTGCTATGGACCCCTATCTGTTCTCATATATCTGCCTTTGGCCTCTCTGACTATGCAGTTTTGTCTCATTGGTAAATGTAAATGCAGTGTCTCTTCTAAAGGGCACTATGGGATATTTTGTAGTGTCCTTTACCACTGAAGGAAGACAAAGTGTCATAGAGATGAAGAGTATACACACACTAAACACACACTGTGTCTGCATGCACTCACTATACTAGCTGAAAAACACAAGTTATGGTTATCAAAGATATCAAATTCTGACTTAAATTAAGAGTTCCAAAGGTGGCTGAATCTGAACATGACCTCCAACTATTTGTAGCCTTGCCTTGTTGTTTTGTGCTTAGCTAACCCTCCTGGACTTTGTGCTATTTGAGTATTTTCTTTACAGGCAAAAATGTGAGGATTGATCTTCTAGTCTCATCTTCAAGTGAAATCGTATATTTTCCAAAACAGTGAAATTTATCTGAAATGTAGTTCAGTGTTATTTGGAGAAGGCTATTACATTCTTCTGCCACCAGATGTTTAGTTGTACAGCTTGATGCCTATGAATCCAGCTTTAATAACCTGCTCATTCTTTTTTTTACGCACTCAGTGGCAGCCGTGTTGCCATGCGCCTTCTTGTTGTGGTGAAATCTAAATAAAGAATTCATTAAAGCAGTTTTTTAGTGAGTCTTTTGAGGCTGCTTACTCTGAGTTTACCTTTCACAGCAAGTGATAGCAGCACTGTTTCCTCCCCTGCTTACTGCCACACCTGATCATGACTTTACAGTCCATTTGGTTAGCTGAAAAACTTGTCTTTGTTTGTTCAAGCTATTAAAACTACCTAACAAAACAAGTAAAAGATGTATTTCTAGGTTCATTAATTATAAAAAAAAAAACAAGCACTCATGTCTTTGCATGAGTCAGATTTTTCATACTGCACTGCATGGCAACAGCTTCCTCTCATTATCTGTCTCCTACACCTTGCTTCAGTGCTTTTCCAGGTCTTTTTCTGGAGCAGGACTGTCTCAGAGCTTTCACAGGTGGCTGCTGATGTCTCCATATACATATTTGATAGACCTTATATTTTCCCCTTGAGGATAGTGAAATATTAAACTGTGTGGCGGCCTTTTATACTTTTTAGAGGTTTTTTGAAAATGGACTTCCTAGTGAGATTTTTAAAATAAAAAGCCACTGTGATCCGCAACATGTATTTAAAAAGCCTTCTTCATTTGAAAATCTGAGATGTAGCTTGTTTCTCTGGACAATTTGACTCTTAATGTAAATGTTTGCATGTCATATGAAACTCTCATCTGAGGGCGATTTGGTAATTCAATCTGTAATCTCTGCAACTACTGTGATGAAGAAGACTGGGGCTGTGTAGTCCTGCTGAATGAATTGCTCTTTCTTTTTTATAAAACGTCTTTCAATTGTAAGAACTCTGTATTCATGTTGGCATAATATATATCTTTCAGCGGGATGCAAAGGGACAGTACCTGTTTGACCTGATCTGCCATCATCTCAACCTGCTGGAGAAAGATTACTTTGGCATCAGATATGTCGACCCGGACAAGCAGAGGGTGAGTCTGAAGCTTTAATAATAGACCCAATGAAATTGCAGTCAGATTTAATTTGATTGAATTCAATGGCTTTTGGGGGTTTTCTGACTTCTTTATTCCTGTCTTTATCTCATTTTCTCTTTTCTCTTTTCTCTTTTCTTTCTTCTTGATTTCATATTGTTTAGATTTTTTCCTCTTCACATTTGTGCCTGTGATGTTTTTTCATCTAAACTATCTGAAATGATTCACCATAAGGTCATGGTACTTCAGCTTGTATAGCAATTTTCTAGTCTTCTGACTACTTAAAGCGCTTTTTACGCCACACACACCTACCCATTCACACACTGATGGCAGAGGTTGCTATGTAAAGTGTCTATCAGTATAAACTAATCCCATTCAGACACATTCATGCGCTGCCGATGAAGCAGCGGTAGCATCTTGGGGTAAAGTGTCTTTTCCAAGGACACATCGGACATTGGCTGCAGGAGCTGCTGATCGACTCCCTTGCCTTCCAGTTCAGAGACAACCTACTCTACACTGACCTTCAGCTCTGGATTATATTAACTATACCTGTGCTTTCTAATTCAACAGGGAGTTTCATATTGAGACATTTGAATTAGATAATCAGCCTTCATAGTTATTCCACTTTTAATACCCTTATTTTGTCTTTCTATCATATGTTACTAGAGATGTGTTATTTGTCACCTTGTATTTAAACTTGATGTCACAAACTCGATGCTTTGCTTCTTTGAATCAGCCGATAACTCTGCACCCATACCTATCAAATCTGTCTTTTAACCTTCTTTTAGACTCATTTTGTAACGTTCAAAGTGAGAAAAAATGGTGTCTTGTTTAACTGGCCAGATTCTATTTTGAAGATGTTAGCAATCTTGTATGTATGTATGCAAATGTGAATCTGAAATGTCCAAGGACACCCTGTGAAGCTGGTGCAAGGAAGTGAAGCCATCTGTGGCCATTTTCAAAGAGAACATACCTCTTCTACTGTTGATATCAATATCAATCACAGAAACTAGTCCTTGATGAATTTCAGTGATTAAACCAAGTATTTGTTCAGCATTCACTTCATCTTCAAAAGCTTTTCAAAAATACATACCAATGTTTTTCATTTAGCAGATTCTTTCTACATTTTGTATTTGACATAACTCAACTGAGACAAAAAAGTGAAAAGTTTAGAATAAGTAAATAGTTTAAAGCTAACACAGTATCTTTGCGTTTAACAGTGACTGTATTTTGAGTGCAGTGCCCCACCACTGACAGCATGTAATTGTCTCACTGATTAGAGCCAGTTTCCTCTTGTGATGCTAAGCACTCTCCTGATTATCTTCCAAACAGCTCTCTCTCATCTCCACTCTGCACGGTGACTGTGCGGGATTGGGTCTAAATAAACACAAGGGGATGAGATGGGAGTAATTCCATTGTGCCTTCCAGCTATAGATAACACGGAAGACATCACGCTGAGCTGCTGAGCAATCAGACGTCAGATTGACACTTCAGCAGCTAAAGATTCAATGTCTAAAGTTCCCGTCTTACTTTTTCTTTCTCTCTGTTTCAGCATTGGTTGGAGTTTACAAAGTCTATTGCCAAACAAATGAAATGTAAGTATTTCCTTCTGGATGCCTGAGTGGTTAAAAACTCATGTCCAAGTTTGATCACGGTGATTTTTGTCTTCTTCATCAGCCCAGCCTCCGTTCACCATGTGTTTAAGAGTCAAGTTTTACCCACCTGATCCTGCCGCCCTGAAAGAAGAAATCACCAGGTAAGATTCCAAGGTAGCTAGACTGTTGGAGAGGAGGGTGGGGTGAAAATGTAGATGAATGTCCCCCTCTCTCCTGCTGGTCGACGCTTTAAGAGCGAGGGATTTGCTCTGCATTTCAAATTGAGTCAAACTGGTTGTATAGTATAAGCCAGTCACACAAATAGGTGTAGTGTTGAGCAAAGTTGTGACAGCTTACTCCATAGCATGGCTCACCTTTAACTTTGTTTGACTCCAAATGGACTTGACTCCCTGAACTGGATGAAAACCAAGACAAAGTGTTAGAGATATCTATGGTATTCCAAGATTACTTCTTTCTAGTAAAAACACCTGGTCCACACCTTTAAACCCCTCCCATAATGCAATGCGGACAGTCACAGTTAAATCAGAGATACAGGTAGCCGCCCTAGCCTCAAGCACGTATGAAGAGTGGGTTACAAAGCTCTGCTATCCTAAATTCCTTGAGTCTTTCACAATTTATACATCCAGATCTCTTTCTTTAAATTGCAGAGTTAAATCAGAGATACAGGTAGCCGCCCTAGCCTCAAGCACGTATGAAGAGTGGGTTACAAAGCTCTGCTATCCTAAATTCCTTGAGTCTTTCACAATTTATACATCCAGATCTCTTTCTTTAAATTGCAGTCATCAGACTCAACTGATACTGACTCAAGTGATATCATTTGAGGCAATTTATGAGAGAGATAACACAGCTCTGTAAAACAGTTTAATGTACGTTGTATATAAGTACGTAGTATACCTTTTATGAAGGTGTGGTGGTTAACCACGTGCATCATCAGTGTGTCATTGTTCATAATGTCATCATGTCATAGGTGTATGTGATGGTGTTGGTTTGATAAACTTCTAAAGGCTCAAGAGAGGAGAAAGGAAATTATTCACATGTACTGTGTTCATGTTTCACAAATCCCTGACATCACAAATTAAACTAATGTTTAAGAACTAAGGGCTTAGACTGTGTACCCAGTCAGGATTGCACGTGTCTGTATTAGTGAAATGTTTAAAACAAAATAGCAGATAAAAATATCTGATATTGCAAATCATGCCTTGCACGGTGCACATTTAGTGAACCAGTCAGCTTGTTTTTTTAATTAAACACGTCATAACAAAACACTGTCTTTTCATTAACCTTTCCTCTGACAAGTACAACGTTCTTAGAAATCCTCCAGATTTGACTCTGGTATTGCAGCTCTTGTTATTTATTATATCTGGTGGTACATAACCACCACTTGGTAGCATCAAACATATATGTGCAACATTTTTGTCTATTTTAATACAGAAATTCACCAGAGGTGGCCTTTTAATATGCTTCTTATGCTCAACAGAACAATTGACTCCACCTTACTGATCTTTTGGAAGGCTTTAGCATCATTTAAAAATGCTGATGTAGCTGACCACTGCACTTTTATTGAACCACTTGGGATGTAAACTATGTTTTAAACTTTATTTCTGTAAGTAATTTAAGTAATGTAGCTGACCACTGCACTTTTATTGAACCACTTGGGATGTAAACTATGTTTTAAACTTTTTTCTGTAAGTAATTTAAGTATTTTAATGAAAATTCAAATCAAGTAGTGAAAATGTACGTTGTAATAAAAAACAAACAAAAAATACAACTCTTAATTCATCACAGTATTAACGGCTAGTCTATGTCAACCTATCTTGAATGAAGCGGAAGTGCAAAAATATGCAGTTCCTGGACTGTCCACTTGAGGCTGTCTGCAGAAGCCCCCGAAGTCACTTACACACCTCGAAATGCCCTTTCTAACGACATAAATATACATGTTTACAGCCTGGTTTTGGTCTAAATATCTTTATGGATGCACACCGAACAGGGGTGAACTATTCTATTAACTCATCAGTTTTGATTAGGGCTGATCTGACTGACGGGCGGGTGCGTTGTAGCTGTTCTTCAGGAGGTTCAAGACCTGCGCGGCTAAGCTCCTGCTCTTTGCCTGTTTCTTGGTTGGCTGAAGGTTAGTTTGAGACAGCATTTCCAATATTGGCGACTGGTTGACATCAAAACTCCACTTCAGAAAGCAATGGTTGATGTCACAGCACTACGTCCATGTTTTATAGAGCATTTGGTCTATGTGCTGGGGGACTTAACTATTCCCATCTTCATGAGCTGCAGAGTCATGGAGCTCCTCACCAGTACTGTGCTGTGTGTGGGATCTTTGACAGCTGAACAAACTGAAGTGAGGAGACAGCCAAAGTGCTCCTGAGCGCACAGATCCCTCAAATCACTTCCCTCGACTGGTTGCCACGCAGTAAAATCTCTTATTCTCCATCCAGCATGTCTTGATAGAGAAGAGCTCCGGGGAGGGAGAGCTCCTCTATCCTCTGCCATCTGTTCTGTCTGGAAGCGTTCACAGACACACAAATACAAGTTAGAGCAGCAAAAACATGACAGGTAACAGCATTATGCAGAGATTTGTATTCTCAGTTTTTAAATTAAACTAGGTAATATGTTTTGCTGATAACAGGAGCATCCTGTGATGTAAAAAAAAGACAACATGGCCCAAACTCTTCTTTGCCACTTCATTGCAGTGCTTTAGTTCTGCTATACTATTTATTGCTTTGCTGCTTGGAGAGAAGCCAAACCACAGGCATTTGAAATGAATGCTGGGAAATTGACAGACAAGTTATCTCTGGATATTGTGGATGAGAGCAGAAAATTGAGTTGCTCCCAGTGGACCTCAGTGTGAATCAGCGGCCATATTTTAACTCCCAAATGCTCAGAATTATTCGGATTTAGCTTCAGACCAGCCTCCAGTAAGGCAACAATCTGTGTCTAATTGTTCCTGTAGAAAACATTTCAAGTCATGTTTTTTTTCTAAACTTTAATTTTAGAGTAAATAAATATGGAGTGATTAGAGAAAATATGAAATGGCTGTGGAGTAAGTAGTTGAGGCTTAATCCATTCCTTTTACATTTCACTGTGTAGAGCAAAAAGGTACTGTAGCTTATACAGAAATGTGGGAGCCTGTTTCTCTCCTGTCTGATGGTAATAGATCATATTCTCTGTTCAGAGCGTGGTTGATGTCGGACAATGCTGTTAGACAGTCTAAACATGTTTTATTGTAGGCAGATTCATAGAGTCTCTGGAGTGTTTATCTTCAAATCTTTGAGCAGATTTTTGTTTGGTGGAGCAGTTTAGATTTTAAAGTAGTGGACAGACACATGTACCATGTGGTGTTAAAATACTGTATAACACTTACAACCACCATCAGCCACAGCTGGACTTAAAATTTGTCTTTTTTCTGACATTTTCAATGTGCTCTTCCAAAGGCAGCAAGTGGTCAATCATAACACGAAAGGAAACCTCAAACTTCTCTCAATCTGATTTTCACCTCTTCTTCATGTCTTTTAGTGTTCCAGGTTCTTTATTTTTAAATCAAGTTTCCTTTAATTTAATTTAATTTTTATTTTTATTCAACCTTTATTTAACAAGGTTGGTCCCATTAAGATTAAGAACCTCTTTTTCAAGGGAGACACGGCCAAGACAGGCAGCAGAAAAAACACAAAGTTATAGACAGAGACACAAAGAGAGACACAGTCCAATTTACAAAACACTACATTTAGCATTAAAATAGAGCCATCTATGGTCAAATCGGGGAGTCAGCAGTTCAAGCAGTCAAGCTAAAAACATCGACATCCAATTGAATCTGCTTCCATGTCTTTCGCTTTAGATTTAAAAACATTTAAGGACACCAGCTACTTGAGCTTTAAGTCATTCTGCAGCAGATTCCAGGCTGAGGGTGCAGAAGAAACCAAAAGCCCTTTTCCCAATTTCTGTTTCTGAGCATTTGGGACAGAGAGCATAAAGAAGTCCTGAGAGCGCAAAGAATACTGCCCAGTACTTTTCTGCATGATCAAAACACATAGAAAGTGAGGAAGCAGACCAAGAATTGCCTTATATCTAAAAGTGTACCAGTGTAAGAGCCTACAGGATCGCCAGAGCGGGCCATCCAACCCGGGAGTACAACTCACAACGGTGAGTCAGAGCTTTACAGTTTGTAATGAACCTCAAGGTTGCATGGTAAATCGTATCAACCATATGGAGACACTGAGCAGAGGCGTGCATGTACAAAAGATCACCATAGTCTAAGACAGGTAAAAAAATTGCAGCGACAAGATGCTTTTTTACATTAAAAGAAAAACACAACTTGTTGCTAAAAAGAAAACCCAGCTTTAGCCTCAGCTTTTTCACCAGGCACAGCACATGTGGTCTAAAATTAACAGACTCATCAATTAAAATACCCAGGTATATGACTTTTTTATGTCACTGGTCACTTCAGATTTAATCTCAGGATAGTCTTTGTTGGAATGATCAACTCTACATATAAATTAATCTGATCATTTGTCATTTCATTGAATGAGCCCTTGTGAAAGGTTTCCCAATTAGTCCAATCAAAACAGGCTTTCATTTTTTATTTTTTTTTACTTATCACAGAAAATGCTCCATTACTATCAGCCACAGTTGTACTTTGTCTATGTGGTCTTTTAACAAATGTTACATGTTAATCTAACATGTTAGAAAATGATACCGGCTGATGGTGTATCATCATTGTGAGCATGTTTACTTGCTTGCCATGAATTACTGTGCAACAAATCAGGGACCAGTATGCATTTCCAAACCTTGAAAGTGTTGCACAATTGTTGCAGGTTCAGCATCAGGGAAACTAACACATTTTGAAGCCCATACACAACAATCTCTCTCGGACACACCTGGGAAATGACTGACACCTTATTTGTAGTTGTAAACATCCCTCATTTGTGTTGCCATGAGAACCACAGTGTATTTTTCATCTCTTAAAAAAGACCCGAATCAGTTTCTCTGTGTTCCACTCCACAGATATCTCGTCTTCCTGCAGGTTAAGAGGGATCTCTACCACGGCCGTCTCCTGTGTAAGACATCAGATGCTGCTCTGCTGGCTGCCTATATATTACAAGGTATGACGTAATACAGAACTCTCATTTAAGTTTTCAAAAAAGCTGTGATTCATTTAAAATAAAAAATCTTCTACAAGGAAAAAATCATTGACACTGGGTACATTCTGTTATCTTTAACAGCTAGCCATGATGTGTTTTGATTGACAGGCTAATCCTTACATTAGAAGCATTAAGGAGCAATTTCCCTGTCAAACACTTGATAGGGAGTCCAGGTTTCTAACCAGCGTTTAACCAGACAATACCTGAATCTGAATGTTCCCAGGTGTACCCGTGACACTTTATAATCCTAAGGGCTTAATCAAACTATAAATTATACAAAGACGATAAATTATGTGCTGACAACCTCAACGCTGGCTTACTGAAGGCACTTTTTACTTCCTACAAGTAAAATAACAGTGGTTACCAAACTGGGGGTCAGCACCTCCCTGGGGTTGTAAAATGTTAAGAAAAAAATTGTTTCATTTCTAATTATACCCAATTAATAAGTGGAATGGAAATGAAATTAACGTGTTAAATACTTAAATTTAAGTCTTAAAGTTATTTGGGGTAGCTGTGAATCAGATTAGAGTGGTTTGCCTTTCAAACGGAAGATTGACAGTCTACACTGAGCAAGGTAGTGAGCCCCAAAATTGCTCTGAAAGCATTGTCTACTGTGTTGCAATATGTGTGAATAATCAGCTGTTTAGTGGCCTTGCATAAGACTTGTTTAGTGTATCATTGAGTGTGAAAGGATGGATGCTGTTAAGCACTTTGAGTGGTTAGAAGACTATGAAGGCACTGTATTAGTGCAATGCATTATCATTTAATTAAAGAGAAAGGAGGGAGGTTAATGATTGGATGAAAAAATGTGGAAGGAACTTACCTGATAAATGGCCATTTAGGTGTTTTTCCAAACTTCTGCTATATCTAATTTTGGTGTCTTCATAAGCACCCACCTTCTTTGTCTGATAATAATTGAGGGAAGACTAAATGTCAGTGTGTCCTCGGGCAAGATATTGAATCCAAATTGCTGCAAATGGCTTGAAGTGCATATGAGTGTGTGGATGAATTGTGACATTTAGGGTAAAGTGCTTTGTGTGGCCAGACGACAAAAAATGGCACAATAAATGTGCAGTCCATTTAATAAGCACTCTGTGGCATTGACAACATGTCAGAAATTGTGAAACTCTAATGTGTGGTACACATATAAAGTGTGATTTAAACACCCGGTTAATAATCACACTTTTGCACTGACTGTCAGAAAATAAGAATTTGTTGTGAATAGTTCAGTACAAGCTCCCCAGAGAGCAGACAAATACCCAAACTGTCCATCTATTTCCTCTACAAGTTGTTATGATGCCAGTGTTTGGCTGTGGAAGCTACAAGGATGCAAATAAGACTGGGAGATAGTGTAGACATGCCACCTGGATGACTTATGCATGTAAACAGGGTCAAAACTGACAACGGGTTCTTTCAATATAAAACAGAGAATTTCTTGATCCATTAACACTCCTGATCCTATAAACACATAAAAATGATTGGGCTGGTCTTTAAGTCTTTATGTGTATCTCAGTTCACGTGCAACATGAGTGTTGAGCTCCTGTTCATTAACGCTTGACCGTAATGAAGCATGCTTTTGATGGCGTTTTTTGTGCAAAAAAGGTTGAGACGAAACCTTGTTGTTTTATCATATGCTCCAAAGTAACCTCTCTGCTGATCATAACATCACTATACAAAGATTCAAGTGGCAAAATGTTTTTATTGCAGCTTCAGGAAATAAAGATCAGGTCTTAACACATTTCTGAAACAGTTATTTACATCACAAATGATAAGGATGCAAATGCGAGTTTAATGAGATACTTTATAGTCTACCTATGACTCATTCCCCTGTCATTACTATGAGCATATTAAAATGTTTCATTTTTTCAATATAACTTATTCACATAATCGAGCAGTTTAAGGCCAAGGAAGGACAACTTTGAGGTTTGAACAGGGAGTTACGTTTTTTTTTAGTAAGCAAGTAGTTTAAAATCGTCATCTAACCTTGTTAATGTTTCCTTTGTCTTTCTTTGCCATGTTTCAGCTGAAATTGGTGACTATGACCCCGGGAAACACCCAGAGGGCTACAGCTCCAAGTTCCAGTTCTTTCCCAAACATTCAGAGAAGCTGGAGCGGAGGATTGCCGAGATCCACAAGACTGAGCTGATGTAAGGTGACATCTGTCCATGTCCCTTTACACCTGGTACTCCTTCACTTCCACAGTGCAGGCATGAGGGAGGCACACCTGGTCCAACACGGACCCTTCCTTTGTCGTGCATCTAAAATTCAGAGTGCAGTCGTGGCAAACATAAAGGAACGTCCGCTGTGATATTTTTAGTCTCCATACAGCTACTTTGTTTTTAGATAATGTAGCAGTAAAAACACTTGGAGGTCACATTAACATTAATTTAGGTGCAACAGTGATGCAATTAGTTCAAGTTGTAGTGCATTCTTAACTTTCCATCGCAGTAAATCAAAAATGATCTTGAATAACAGGTGATGATGAAAAGCTTCATAGCATTACTGTTGATGAGATGGTGCAATGATTTCTTAAAAGTATAAGCTACTACTAAGTACCTGTTACAAATTTAAAAAAAATAACAGATCATATGAAACTTCTTGCAAAGAAAAAACATCACATAGAAAACATGTCTACAAGATCATAATCTGGTATATGCAGAGGGATTGTTTTGATTTTCAAAGCTTCTTAATATGCGTCCTTACCGTGTTGTTGAAGTAATGGTGAAGTGTGTTTCCTCATATCTCTTGTTTATGTCATGTGAAATTCAGGCACTCTCTTTTTCTTGTATAGGTTTAGTACTATGATTGCAACACATTGAATGCACCAGTCTGCAGCATATATTTCAGACTACAGTATTTTTCTGGCAGTTTGCTCCCTACAATGCACCAGTTAGGGAGCCCTGCTTCAGGCAAAGCATGGCCAAGAGCCAGTGCTCAGGCAGCCTTCAATGGTCAGATACATTTGGGTTGATTCCCAAACTCAAAGAGTCTTGGCTCTGTTTACTCAACTGGGTTCTTTTTCATACTCTTCCCCGTCTGGTCTTTTTTTAAAGTTAGTTTTCTCTTTGGACACTCAGATTCTGTATTTCTGCATGTTTCACCATGTAGCTGTAAAAAGGCCAGTTGTAATGGATGGATTGTGAATGTCGCTCTGACATACAGCAGGCACGTTGTTTTTCTGGGCAGGACTTAGATGCGTATGTTGCCATCCTAACTCAGTTTTCTATACCGCATGAGATAATTTGTCCCACACTTGGTCAAAGTCTTTGCACATCTGAAGAGCTGCTGGATGGGTTGCTGTACAATCGATACAATCCCTGGGTTTCATGCTGTCAGCAAACACAGACCACTTTGGATTATGTGTTTTCAGGATGGTGGTGATTTTGAGCTCCCTGAGGTACACTGTTTATATTTTGCCTGGGGCTGATGTACAATTTTGGTGGAAAGTCACAAGGTTGAGGTGGGCCAAGGTCATCCATGTGTGGAGGCAGGAAGTGTTAGCTTCTGGGAGTCTGGCGCATTGAGCCCAAGGAGCCCATTGGAAGATAAATTGTAAAAAGGATTAAACGTGGCACAAGTTATCTAGCATTGCTAACAAGTACAGAAACATCCAACCCTGCTTCTCTAACCATTGATGACTTCCAGATCACCTTTTGGTTAAGGGTACAACAGCCAATATACTGAAAGAGGTCAACAGGCTGAACCATTTCATGAAAACTCTGGTGTGTAGAGGTGGAGGGATTAAAACCACGAGTGTTTTTTTGAAGTTCTACCTGTGCTCATGGATCAAAGGTTATAATGAGTAGCCTAAAGGTAGAATCAAACTGCTACTGTTTGTTTGTAAAACCATTGTCTTTTTTCACTGCTTTGCTTGTAGTCTCCGTCTTACACACACACACACGTGCACACACGCGCACGCACACACACACACACACACACACTCACACACACACACACACACACACACACACACACACACACACACACACACACACACACACACACACAGTTAATAAAGACTTGGTCCTGCACTGCCCTCTATCGTTCATTTCCACCTGATGTTGACAGTGGTTTTGAACAGCTGCATATATCTGACCATGGTTATTTCTCTGCACAGGAAAACGTCTCTCCTACTTTCATAAATGAGCTCTTTTGTTTAACATAGTTATTTGATTTCAAGATAAGAGAGAGTGGAACAGAGATAATGGAGGGAAATCACGTCCATGTTTTATAACAGAGCGCAATATCTGTGACCATGCACCAGTTTTACTAGGCATACATAAAACAAGAGAGCAACCTACATTTCTTTTAGTCGGCCCACAAGCTGACAACTTCCACAGATGTCAGATGATTATTATTGTTTTAGTCATTTAACTGGCACAATTAGGAGCAGCCAAGTCACTGACAATGAGTCAGCTTTAGCTTCATTGTTTGAACGCAGAGACCATATTTGAGTGTCAGATAGAGATGAATTGCTCAGTTTTACCTGGCAGTTAAACACTCTGCTGGTCAATTAATCTTATTTACAGAAACAAAACAGATGGGCTGTGTTTGCAAAGTCCAAACTGCAGTAGATTCTTTGGACATTGTAATCAACAAGCCATATGCTCTATGCTTGTGATATGAAGGGGAATGTGCCCGGTTTGTGATCTCTCAACAAAAAAAAGTTTGGCTTCATCTTGTTAATGAAAGATAAGCAAAATGCTCTATCAAATAATGTCCTTTGAGTAGACAGATGGTTGGGATCCATCCAGTAAAACCAACTTTTCTTTTTCTGTCAGAGGTCAGAGTCCCGAAACGTCAGAGCTCAACTTCCTCCAGAAGGCTCAGATGTTAGAAACGTATGGGGTGGACCCTCATCCATGCAAGGTGCTCTCTTTACTTTATTTAGACTTATTCATGTTTATGTTTTGGAGCAAATGTGGGAAAAATCAAAAATAAAAGTGCAAGAAAAGAAATTCAGATTCTGCATTAACCAAAAACATTGATTTGTTTACCTGTCAGGACGTATCTGGGAACCCAGCTTTTCTGGCTTTTACTCCTTTTGGATTCACTGTGCTGCAGGGGAACAGGAGGATTCACTTCCTCAAATGGTGAGTACAGATGAGCTGGGAAAAGTGGAAACACTGATAAATGAGATAACCATAAATCAACTTGCACAAAATGTGTCTACATGTCCATAAAGTGGAAAAGTCTTTGTAGTCAATTGTTGATGAGAAAAAAGTCATTCTAAAAGTTTCAGATGAACCAGTTCATTTAGAGCTCCTGTGTTTCCAGATACATATGAATACTGATGATTCTTTATTACCTACAAAAGCTAATAAGTCCAACAGCAACAAGACTGACTATTTTTATATCATTCTTTTGAATGCATGTAACCCCTGCTGCAGGGTAGGTGTCAGACAAAGAGATTGAGTGAGTGACATGTTCATCTAGAAGAAGTCAGGGTGAGACTTTCTGTTAGAAATTCAACTTACGCATGAACAAAATCAGTAGAGCAATATGAGGAACTGCTTTGTCAACAGAGGGCGCAACATTTAAATCAACCATAGTTACTTAAATGATCTTTTAAAAACAGATATATAAGCCAGCAGTGAGTAAGAATTACTTTTTCATTATTATGTGTCGTCTTTTAATTAGTAGCTTGTAGAACAACTTTTCTTCACACTTTTTATTTTAACAGAAGTGCTTCTGAACATATCTTTAAGTTGCCAGAAAAGGAAAGGATAATATCTTAAAACTTTCAGTCATCATTCATTTCAGTCCAAACTATTGAATTGTTGTTCCAAACATTTGTTTCATGTTTTTTTAGATTGAGTAGTACCAGGATCAAATTTAATTATCAAATACAGCCTATCATGTACAGATACCCTATCTTTAACAATGCATACAGAGTGTTTTGATAGGATTGTCGCAATAAAACAGACTTGAGAAACTAAATCGTATTGAATATTTTGAGAGTCTGAGCCAAAAGCTCCACACACCTGAAATCTAAACAAAACAATTACCCTTTATATTTTTCTGTGTGTGCAGTAGGTCCAACTTGTTCCTTTATCTGCAAATGTATTTAAATTCTAAGCACTGAAAAAGAAACAATAAGAAACTATACAGGAGGGTGTTGGTGACCTTTAGTTGACAGCTGAGTCAACTAGCTGTGATGCTGCATAATCACAGAGTCTGACTGGTTTGTTTAGAGTTGTTATTTAAATCATGTGCATTTTTAGTTTTTTGACTTTCTTTGACTGGAATCTTTATGTCTCTACTTTTCAACACAGAAATGAAACACTGTTGGTGTTATTAATGTGCCTCCAGCCTCACTGAATATTTAACCACCTTAATCCAATTCTGTCTCTTCTTTTCCCTTCATCTCCCTTTGTGTCCTCTTGTTTCCGTTTTCTTTATTTCACTGTCTTACACTTTGTCTTCTGTTTGTCATCTTTTTCTTCTGTCTCTTGTCTGTCCTTTGTGCTGTCCATGTCTACATCTCAGGGACGAGGTGACCAAACTCAAGTTTGAAGCAAAGACATTCCATATATATGCAAATCAGAATGAGGTATGTGTATGCATTATTAATATGTTCCTTCCCTAGTCTTTGGAGCTCAGGAAGTTAAATGAGGTTAGCCTTGTTTTATGTGTGGAGACATTGCCACTGTGAAGCTGAGTGAAACTATCTCTTCATAGATAGTAGATGTGAAATGATAGGATTAAAATGTGTGTTAGCTTTGGAGTTTAGCAGACAATAGAGCCAAGTCATGGGAGGGGATGTAGCCATGAGCTCAGTTCATGTAAGAGAAAAGACTGCTGGCATTTTATTTTCACATGATGAGCAAGTCATTATGAGGAACCTGGTTAAAATATGATTTATAGATATAAAGTACGTTAAAGGTACTGAATGTGTTACAGGACAGGAAAATCATACTGACATACTTTGCACCTACACCTGAGGCCTGTAAGCATCTGTGGAAGTGTGGCGTCGAGCATCAGGCATTTTACAAGTAAGTCACAAAATGTGAGCCTAAAAACACTCAACATCATGCTAGGTATGTTTATAATTTTAACTGTATTGTGTTCTCCTTCCATTTACTCCTAGGTTGGAAAAGTCGAGTCAAGTCCGCACTGTTTCCAGTAGTAATCTCTTCTTCAAGGGTAGTCGTTTCAGATACAGGTATTCACTCATGTTTATTTGTTGGAAACATACAACAAGTTATGAATATTAATGACATACTTACATACCGCGAAAAGTCTTGGCTAAAAAATGTCATTCTTCCTCGAGTGTTTCAGTGCGTATCAACAGTTTTCATTTCTCTGTATTCTTAGTGGAAAGGTTGCAAAAGAGGTAATGGAACAAAGTGCCAAAATCAAGAGAGACCCCCCTGAGATACACAGGTCAGAATCCCTTCAACCTCTGCCTGCAGCCCTACAATAATATGAAATATGGCTTATCAAAGTGCATATCATGCATTCATGTTTTAATTTATACATGTGTATATATGTGTTTTTTTGTGAAGGGCTGGCATGGTGCCAAGTAGGAGCTGTCCATCCATCACTCACGGCCCTCGTTTGACCAGTGTGCCTCGGACCAGGCGGAGAGCTGTGCACATCTCCATCATGGAGGGTAAGAAAAACAAAACTCAATTTGATACTTTCTAGAGTGATTGTGGAAGGTCAGGGGTCGAGTCCTCACGCTCTCTGATAATATCACGGCTGAGCAAGTAATCAAAAGACCACCTCTCTCAGTGTGGAGAAGGTCTCTCAGTTTAGTGTTTGTTTTCTACAGAAATATCCAAACAGATGAACTTTTACACCTTATCCAAAACCCATCATACAACATCCTCGCCTGAATATATTCCTATTTGTGATAAATTATATCATATATCAAGAAGAGAACTTTGTTAACTTTTTTATATATATAATTGTCTGTGTCATGTTTTTTTTTTTTTTATGTGTATCTGCAATAGTCACAAAAAATAATCTATCAACCATATATCTTATGTTCATCCATATATATCACAGTAACGTTTTGCTTGTACTATTATACAATTTAAAATGAGCAGGTGACTCCTGAACTAGCGGTTCTTCAGGAAGCATCTTCTCAATCACAAGTTATCTAATCTCTAAAGTGTACACAGCTTTACCAAATGTGACCATAAGTTATATCACAAAAGAAAAAAAAACTAACAAGAAACTATACACTGAGACCATGAACTTCATGGAACAAAGTGAAATCTGGAGAGAAGTTGTTTCTTTTTCTTATTAGAAAGAAAGCAGGCAATGAGCACTTGTGCATTTGCCCTTTTTTTAAACCTGGAGTGTAGTTCCACTTCTTAAATTAATCAGGTAGCTAATATGAACAATCCAAGACTCCTGAGTGTCAGTCCATCCTCTTTATTTAGTGTGATATCTGTTTACTCCTTGGATGTGGACTCTCTGTATCAGACATCAACCACACTCTCACAGTGAACCCATCAGCCTGTGGCCTCAGACATTATTTTGACATGAGCAAGTCATCCTGTCTGTTCATAAAGGGCACTTACTGCCCCCTCCACCCTCCGACAGGCCATTAACCTTTTGTCAATGCTGCCACTGTGAGTAATTTAGCTCTCAAATGACCAGCCTGGCTTATATTGACTAAACTTATTATATAGCCTGTTCCCCATAAAAAAAAAATCTTTTGTCAAACGGGCCCCCCTTCATGTCACTGACATGGAGAGCATGCTCCGACATTGCACTCCACTGTAGCAACACAAAAACAAACCCCCTGTGTTTTGTCCTGTCGCTCTGTGCTGGCATTTCCACTGGTAATAATATCTCAGTCTGAAAATAGCTCCCGCTGTCAGGGCCCCGGCATGTGTCACTGCTGACAGCAGGGAAGGACGAGGTGAACTGTGGCACAAGTGGTCCACATTCCTGGGCCTTGTCTTTCACTCTGTGTCTGTCTCGCTCTCTATCTTTTCTGTCTGCCTGACTGCCAGTATGTGGAGGCTCCTTAGCTAGCTGCTTCATAGCCAGCCACAGTCAGAGACAGAGAGGGACAGCAGGCGACAGAGGAGAGGTCGTTTCAGTAAGATATACACAAGGACAAAAAGGAGGGCAGCAGAAGGGTCCTGGAGCACAGTCAGGAATAGACAAGAGTGTTTCTACTCTCCTTGAATCATGGTGAAGTGTCTGATTCGGATCAAGACCAAGGTCAACGTTCACTTGCGGATGATCAACCACTGTTACAGAGATGTAAACGTACGCGTGCTGTCTCTGGGACCCCGACTCTTGGGCAGAGCTCTGGGGGTCCTACCGCTCTTTCCTGCCCTCTCTGGGGGTTCCTCCACTTCACGCTCTGGTTCTGGGTCTGGACAGAGCTCCAGGACCCCTTCCAGGCTAGCTGTCCCTCCCCAAGTCTATGGATGCAGCCCACCAGCCAACAGTGCAGGTAAAAAACAACAAAGCTGGTTTTATTTTGAAGGATTTTGGACTGCTGCCTTTGTGTGGTTCCTGATTACTTTATGGCCATTAAGGTGGGTGATGTTGAAAGGAGCAGTGCAGAAGATCTTGGAATTGGCCCAATTTCTGTTTTTTTTTCTGAAGAGTAACGAAGTTTATAACACATAAAAATATGGAATTTGAAAATAATAGATTGTTAAAGTTGAATGCAGTGCTATCAAAGTGTAATGTTTTATATCTTCTTCTCTCCAATTAAGTAACAGTTCTTAGAGAGGTTGTTTTAATGCGTCATGTCTAATCCCAGGTTGGAGTTGCCTTTTGAAAGTATTTGCTTTGACATAGTTTACGGGACAGGATCAGTTTCTTTAAAAGATCATGGCAGATTGACCATTTAAAAACAGTTAATTCTATCCATAGGGCTTTATTAGAATTGTTAATTTTGGCACATTTTTCAGCAAAAAAGGAGGCTGTTACACGCACATCACATAGGTGCTGGGCTGTGCAAAAACAGCAGACTGAGGAAGAAGAAGAAGACAGTCCTGCACACTTGCTCCAATGCCATAAAAAGTTTGAATTTGTCAAAATCACAATGTTTCGACCAGAGGTCTTCTTTAGGTGACCACACCAACATATATATATGGATTTAAACACCAATAGGCTGATAGGCACTAAGATGGCAGGTGTGGTCAAATATTCCAATTGTCCTAGAAGAAACACATTTATAATGTTCATATTACATATATACATATTAGATATAACATACACAACAGATTCATCCTGTATGGTTTTTGGATGTGTCTTTGATGTTTTTATATGATGTCTTTTTGATTAGTATGGTAAATAAGTGTGACAATATATATTTTGTATGTTCATTCTACTTAGCTTATACTTAATATGCACATACATACCTACAAGATGTATTATCTGTTCTTTTCTGAAACTCATATAATGTCTGTCTAAGGAACAACGTTTCATCAGATTCTCTCTCTGAATGTGAAACACTCTTACAACAATACCTCCCAGTTATAAAATATCTTCTTTACCATGTGCTCTCCTCTGCTTTGCGTCTTCAGGTCTGGAGTCGCTTAGAGACAGCGCCCACTCCACACCTGTTCGCTCCGTCTCCCATGGCGAATCCTTCATGTCTTCTCGGGGCCAGCTGGTGGACGGCAGCGAGGCGAGCACATCTGCAGTCATCTCTGACGAGGCCTACTGCCCCTCAGACAGCGTGCTGCCTACACCTGTGGCCGAACACAGGATGGAGATGCCTTCTGCTCGACACCTGAACGGCGCTCCCTCAGGCATTGATGAGGATAAAGATTCAGAGGCGGGTACATCAAAGGGGGGGCAGGGGACTGAGTTCACCTCGGGTAGGAGAGCGCTGCGTAAGGGGAGGAGCAAGCCGTCGTCATCGAGCGACGTGGAGGAGCTGAACAAGTTCATCCTGAGCGTGTTGCGTCTGTTCCTGGTCACCATCGGACTGCTGTTTGCCCTGCTGCTCCTCCTTATCATGCTCACAGAGTCAGACCTGGATATTGCCTTCCTGAGAGACATCCGCAAGACACCTGAATTCCAGCAGTTCCACTTTGAATACTTCTGCCCTCTGCGGCGCTGGTTCGCCTGTAAGTTACGGTGGATGGGAGGTTTTCTAATCAGCAATTGAGGCAGAGATGTAGAACCTGTAAGAAACTTCACAGTCCTCCACTGATGGAGATGGGACACAACAAAGACAGACAGCTGGGAGAGAGGTCTGGGAAAAATCTGATTCTCCCAGGATGAATCTCCTGTCACAAGCCACGTTCTGTCCCCTGAAGAACCTTGTGTAATATTTTTCACCATTACTGCGAGGAGAGATATCACATTTTACTTTGGAAATTTTATTTTTACACAAAATCACAATAACAGGGTGTTGTTCAAACACTGGAAGGGAAAGGAAAGTCAAACTGACTTCACTGATTTAACCACATATAATAGTTGCCTTTATTTTTGTATTGATTTATATGTTTGTCGTAGGGCAGAAGGACCTGAAGAGTTTGGGTGTGTGTTGTTGTGTGACCTGAGTGTTTGAGTAAAGTTTAGAGCAAACTAGATGAGGGCCATTCTAGCTCATCTTGTTTTTCATACTTCAAAGTCAACCACCATGTTCATTTCAGCAGTGTTATTATGGCCGCTGCTATGAGATTGAAAACGGCTGTTTGAGTTAAGCTAGTATGTTGGGGTCAGAGGAAGTGTGAAATGTAAAAATTGAGCAGCCCTTACTGAATGTAGATCAGCCTTGAGTCAAATGCTTTTCCACAGAACTAGTTTCTTTTAATCAATATTTGGTATATTTGGCAATAAGACTCCAGACTTTGTTAACTTATCCTGATGGAGCACACAGTCCAGAAATTCTTTAATCAATCAAATGCTCAACATGAGTCGCTGTATCTATTTGACATAGGGGTGATATCGGTGCTGCTGCCGAGTGAGACTGAAGCATTATTTTTCTAAGAAGTGTGACCTAATTTGTGATCAGACGTCCATTAACAATGTGCTCATGTCACCATGTCTGTCCTCTATCTAGAGCACCAATAAGGCTTCATCGTCCAATGACTTTAAATTAAGGATGCAATATAAGGATTTAAGTAAGTACTGAAGGTGTTAAGTTTACTGACTTTATAAAATAGGAGCCAAGTAATGCTAATAGCTACAATCAGCATCTGTGTAAGGAAAATGTTGTCACTTTGCTGTAGTTACTTTGACAGTAGTTATAAAGGGGAGGGGACTATGTGAGCTAGTGCTGTAGTGATAGTGAGGTGTTTGGTTAGATCTTTGACTCCTGCACTCTTCAGAAGGGGTTCATCTCAATGTGCAATATTGTTCATAATAAAGAGCAAAGATCTTTTTTTATTAAGGGTATGTGACATTGTTTTACCTTTGAAAAGTGCAGAGTTTTGTGTTATTTCCCACAGTGTACGGTTAAGAGAGCTTCATTTTATGCTAAGTGAAGATAATATACCTTTGTTTAACCCTGCTGTCTTTAGATTACTGCAAACCTTGAATATGTTTCGTCCCTGTTCCCATTTTTGTACAAACTGATGACTCATTAACACTTGGAGATGTCCTCACAGTGACTTTTAGTGTCCTTGAACATTCTGTTTTTACAGTGGACATACTGTCATGTTTATGTCCTACTGCGATCTGCTTCATTACACCTACCAAAGAATCCTCTGTTGTCTGCTGTTTATGTCAACAGATGGAAACTGTAGATAAGTAAGCTGTCCCTCTCCAGCCTTATAATTAAGTATACTTATTATTTAACCTGCAGTGTGTCTTTACATGCCAAGAGCAATCAACAGCTTTACCGTTCAAGTCCGCTCGTGACTACTGGTCCTTCTCACAAGCCTACAAGTAGCTGATTAGAGAGAGAGCATATACTGTGTCAGTGGTAGTTGTAGGCTGATCTAAAATTCAAATGGTTGTGTTGTTGCAGCAAGACGACTGTATGAGGATGAGTGATTAGCTTTGGAGTTTAGGATGAGCAGCCTGTAGGCAGTCTGGAAAGTTACTTTAACAGTATTGCATTTTATCTTGAATAAGTTGATCTCTCAGAGCACTTTGAGAATCCCTGTACAATTGAATATCTTGGCTTTAAGTATTTTTTGTCATGTTTTGATCTTAGATTCAGTAACTCTCATACATTGCAGATGGTTGTCAGATTTGAATCAGAACTTTGCTATAACACAGATGGGTCTGTAGGTGAAAGAGGGTCATGTATGAAAAAAAAGCCCAGCAGACGCAGATTTACCCTCTCCTTCCTACTATTTGAACAAATACGTATTGAAAACAATTAACATATTTGAGCAATAAATATTACAGGTAATGAATGAATTTGAATAACTATAAAGTACAAACTGTTTCTAGAAAATGTATTTTGAATCCCTTCAGCAGGTCAAACTGTCTGTAGATGCATGTGTCAAAGGAGTGGTGCCTAGGAGGGTCAAAGATACTCCTCTGAAGTATCTCTAGTGAAAATGTTTGAATCCTGTTTGGTTATTTCCTAATCATGGACTGCTTTTCTTGACTACGTTTATAGAAATGGAGTAGATGCATATTTTTTGTGAAAGTTTGTGTTAATGAAATGAACACATGCAACAGAAGAGACATTTTCACTGGACTCTGGAGCAGCTCCACACAAAGACGGTTTGTATTTTTATCCTTTTTAAAAAAGAAAAAGAAAGCAGAAGTAGCAAACCCAACTACCTGACTCGTTATTTTTGCAATGCAGCTCGACATCTTTTGTTTTTACTGCTAGAATCTGTTTCAGTTCCCTTAAACCTGCACAGTGATAAATAGTGGTTACAGCTCTATGGACAGGCAACTCTAGTTCTCACGGGAGGTGCCAGTCTAGTTTAACTGAATTGTGTAAACGGAGAAGGCTCAGATGTGGTCTGACTGTAAAGCTGACTTCCTGTACCATGGACCTTGACATGGAGATGTGTCTGTAAGCATGTGTTCTGCATTTACCTTCAAACAAGACTGCTTATTTCCAATCACTGACTGAAGACTGGTGTAATCTATTTACAAATAAATGATCTTTTCTTTACATCTGGCAGCTACTGTGGCTATAGGTTCAATCTTAAATCCACAGATCAAACAGGAACAGGAAACTGTACAACCACCATCAGTTCTTTATCATGTTTTTCATGTGTCTCTGATGCTTCTCCTCCACACACACACACACACACACACACACATTATTTGTTACCATGCTGCCATCTTATGGTAACAACGGAACAACAGCTGATAACATGAAGTGCAATCATACTCAGTATTTGGTATAAAAATGTTTATATATTTATTGTTTTTGCTTTAGGAGCGCCAAATAAACAAAAAAACAAAAAAAACATGGACATTATTTTACAACAGGCGCTTGTCACACTTTGTCCTTTCAACAGAAATAACAGAGAACCAGTTAATAGGATTGCAATGGTTCTGTAAGACAATTGGAATGTAAGAAACTGATAATACAGGAACAGAAAAGAAGCAACATCTAAAACATATTTCAGGCCTAACAGTAAGTCATCTTCCACCTTCAGTGCAACTCCAGTGTTTTCAAACCTTTTTTCTGTATAAAAATTAAGTTCTCAAGAGTTGACAATTTTAAGTCAACATTGACCAAAAGTGGTTTTAAAAATGAAAAATCTTTAGGATTTTATAATGTGAAGCCAAATAAAACTTCTACACACAAAGATCACTAGAACCTTATCAAAAACTTTGTCTCAGATTGTTGAATGGCTCTATTTCAACTTAGTAGTCCTGCCTGTTATTTTAAAAGCAGAACGAAACAATGAACCTGAACAAGTTATTGTTAAACAAGAGAACAAAGAAAAAAGGGGAAAATGTTTCATTTAAAGATGGTGCCTCAAATTCTGAGGCTGACAGATTTCACTGCGGGATGCACCACGGCTCGCTGCTCCATGTTATGACTATCCAGTGTAGGGATAGATGTGCATTGTGTTGTGAATACTAAGGTAGAAAATGTTTAGAATTTATTCAGATACAGTTATCTTTTACTTTGAATATTTAAACGTGTATGTGCAACGTCCCTAGGAACATGCAGTGTTCAGTGGTCACATAAGCGGCTCTTCCTTACTTGTTCTTTCTGTCCAGCTAAAGTTAAACAGGGGTCTCACTCGTACACATTTTGGTCTCTCTGTAAGTCAGAGAAGACATGCAGGCGTCCTGACGCGTTGCCGCCCAGTAGGGCATTCCTTGTTGGGTGAAAAGCAACGACAGACAGCACTGTGTTAAGGTTCTCATCATCAATGAAGGAGTGCTGGGGCTGACCGCTTTCGTGGAACACCTGCACCCTCCGAGGCCTCTCCATGCTCCCCACCACAAAGCAGTCTTCCTGTTTGGGGTCCCACACTGCTGATAGTTTAGTCAGCCATCGGCCTGTATGCATGTTGTGTCTAAAAAGGCAGATTTGTATTTGTATGTTTTATCCGATTTTTCCAGCACAGAAAGAAGGAAAGAAATAGGGCAGAGTGAAACAGAAATATGTACCTGATAGATGACAACAAGGGAGATTTGGTGGTCATCGCAGAAGTGTCATATATTCTGTCAAAGGAGTTCAGGATAGGCATTGAGCTTAGATTTGACAATACTCGCCTGTAAGTTCAACAAAGTTATATAAAGTGCTGAGCTGGCTTTACCTTATGTTGTTATCCATACAGGAGGTGAGAACTCTGTTTCCTGTGCAAGGGGAGAAATAAGCACTGGATATGCTCAAAGAGTGGCCATTCAGCTGGGAGACAGACGGGCTGTTTGTCTTCTTCAAGCATCTGCTGTCATAAATACTCACTACCCTGCAGGCAAGATCCAAACAGAAATGTTGTACTAAATGACCCATAAAAGAAGAACTGTTTTAGATCAATCCAAGAAAATGAAACTCTTATTGACATACTTGTTTTCTGCCACAGCAAAGTACTGCTTCTGTAACGGGTGGACACTGACACAGCGTAGGGCTTTGGGGTCCAATGAGTGAAGGGACTCGTGCGAGTTTCTGCAGAGAAATTAAATACAAGCTTGTTTATAAAATGTTCAGACATGATGGAAGCAGGTGAAAAACATATCATACAATATTCACCATCAACAATAAAACATTACCCTGGGGTTCGTCTATCCACGATGGCAACTTCTCCAAACCAGCTGCCAACCACTAGTGTGGAACAGTCATGTGACATGAAGTCAAACGTCTTCAGACCATCACCAATGTCATACACCTAAAACAATGTCCATGTAGATAAACAGGTGAAGAAGGAGACTTAGAATTTTTAACAATGTGAATTTTAAAAGAATTACATATTTATGGAGTAATCTCAGTTATCTCACATCATCGAAGCAGGCCTTCTCTACATCCATGCAGCGCAGTGATCCGTCATAACTGAGGCTGAGCAGGTGGGTGGGATGAGCTGCTGAGAATGCCATACAGACCACTGGACGAGTGTGAGGCTCAAAGAGCAGCACACCATCACTGCCCCATTCACCACCCTGAACAGATACACGTTAAGTATGATATGACACTTGTTTTCTTGAAGGGCACTAATGTATGACAGTTTGACAATTTGCTTCCAGAAATACCAGAGAAAGTTAGACAGAAAATGAATGAAGAACATCAATGTGTACTTTGCTTATGAGTCCAAAAAATAGTGATGGACCAATCTAGTTCTGAAACATTAGCCTATAACAATTGGTGAGAAAATCAACTCCAACGGCAGACTTGTCCATTTTTGTATACTAATGTGTGATTATAATACTTCATTTGTGTTGCCTATTGCTTGTTTTGAAGCCCTGTGCTCTAACCTCAAGTGGTCAAATAACCCTCTGTAAAACAGAGAAAAGAAAACTCACAAGCTTCCAGAGTCCCACTTTGCCCCACTTGTCTCCTGTAGCCATTAGAAGGCTGCTTGAGCAGGGGTGGAAGGCAGCAGAGAAGATGCGATCCTTCACCACTTTAGCAACTTTCTCCTCAGATATCCTCATGCTCTTCAGAGCTGAGCGATACCTGCGTGAAGACACGAGTGTAGTTTAAACCAACCGCTTCATGAACTTTTGTAACCGTTTGCAAAAACCTTCATAGCAAGTTAAGCAATGAGTAAAATGTAGAATAAAATCTTAAAATCTTACTCTTTCAGGGCAAGCTGCGGCTTTTTTTCTTGTGCTGAATCCTACGAAGAGAGAAGGCCATGTTCAAATGTACAAACTGATTATGAAGAAGTCGTATTAAACAACAATTACTACTTTAAAAAGGAAAGGTTGCTAACATGAAGCCAGTTTTTGAATTGACTATATTTCACCTAATTTTTGTGGAAGGCATACCAATCAAAATCGATTTAGAGTTGTATGAAGGCAGTTTTGGGTAAAGTAAATTCTTCAGGAATAAAAAAAAATGCCAGGATGTAATGGACTATTACAATAAATTAAAAATTACAATAACCAAGGAAGTTTGCTCCCACCTCTGAGCAGAGCTGAATAAGGTGTGACGGCAGCTTGCTTCCCTCCTCCATGTTGATGGATCCATGGGCAGAGGGCCAGGAGGCTTCTTTAGAGGAGTAGACTATAAAACAAGTAAATAACTAAAGTGAGTAACAATAGCAAAGAATAACAAAGAAAAACAGTGACACATGTTGAAGACACAGAAAGACATTTAATGATGATTGCTGTATATTTTATAGTTGGTTAAATGTATCCACCTCTTCATAGACCAGCATCCCCCTGGGTTCAGGGGGGAGGGTCAGGACCTCTGCCTCTTTATTTTGGAGACGGAGGGATTTCCGAGCTGGCAGCGCTTCCTTCACAGTAGTCTGAGACCTGCCAAAACCAACACTGAACATGACACTGACTTCTAGAGCAAATCTCTGAATTTTTTTAGAGTTTTTTTTGTTAATGAAAATGACCAACGATCAGAAATTCCAAAGATATCCACTCTGAGTTGTGTGACATCGGAAAAAGGAAACCCTCATGATTGAAAAGATGTAAGAAGGCCTAATACGTTGAATTGAAAAGACTGTCAATAATACCTTACGAGACCCCTCTGTGATGGCTTTGGTCGTGATAACTGCTTCAACTCCTCAGTTGCCTTTGATGACACACAAAACTATTTTTTAAATACCCATTACCTCATGCAATTTACAATGCAGGGACAAAAAACACTAAAACTAATACAAAGTTAACTTCAACTAAGAATTTTCACAAAATAAAAGTAAACTAAACTAACAAATCAGCCGTATATAAACTAATTAAAAAGTATTAACAAAATAGAAATATAGAGAGAAAAAAAACTAGAGAAAAAACTAGAGAAAAATCCCAAACAATTATTGTTAACAAGGATTTAAATTTGCAATATGACATTACATATACACCATCTAAGTTACCAGCATATTGACAGTGACATAATGACAAAGTTAACATTTTTTTACTCTTATCTTTTGCTTTGCTTGTTTGGACACATACTGTCTCGCCCTAATGACCAAGTGTAGCTGACTTCCTGTGAGAAGAGTGAACAATGTGACTGTCTTATTACCTGGAACAAGTTGATAGAGGACAGAAATGCTTGGTTATGTCTGATGTTCTCCAGACGCTCCAGTTCATATTCTGAAAGTTCTCCGTGTCCACCCTGGGTTACACAACGACACAATGATACTCACATTTTTGATACACATTTAAGACTTTTTTTTGCAAAGATAGTCAATCGTTTGATAGTTTCGATACTTACAGATGTGTGCTCCACATCACCATTTTCAATATCACCCTCTTCCTTCTTAATGTCTTCTCGCTTTTTCTGGCTGTTCTTGACATCGTGTGTTTTGGTTCTCTATATATATATAAAAAAAAAAAATGTAAACATGTGTTACTCACCATTAGTTTCTATGTTTCTGTGAGGTGTTTCTTACCTTCTCATCTCTGGATGTTTGAGCTGGACTGTTACAAAGTTTTTATGTTTCTGTGAGGTGTTTCTTACCTTCTCATCTCTGGATGTTTGAGCTGGACTGTTACAAAGTTTCTATGTTTCTATGAGGTGTTTCTCACCTTCTCTTCTCTGGATGTTTGAGCTGGACTGTTTTCAGGAGAGTATTTGAGACGTTTCGGTGCCAGGACGGTCCGAGAGGATCTTCGAACTGTTTCTTCGACATCCTCAGGGGTCAACTCCTGCCAGGTGTGCATAATTAACTAACACTTTAATAAATGTTGAATTACACAAGTGCCGAAGACGTTTGGCGACACATATCCTACTCACAAATTCAAAGCCCACTAACCTCCCTTGAATCATGCTCGTTTACCTTGGTTTTAAAATATTATTCAATTACTTTAGCTACTATACTAGTGCAAGTTATCCAGTTTCTAGTTTACAGTATTCAGATGAGAGTTCAGGCGACTATCGGAAACTGAAAAGTTTCAACAACTCACAAGTAGCTCTTGTGAAGGAGGAGCCTCTTCCTTCACCACAGCTCGGCGTTTTGCTCGTCTTGTCGTCATATCGTCCACTTATCAGAAGGTTTTATGTATTTCTTCAAGAAACCTGCACGAAATGATAACAGCAGACTTCACACAGTGACTGACGATAAATGAAGGCTTTGAAGTCAATTCGCGCCACATGTTGGAATTGTTTTGTAAGTAGCCCCGCCCCTCTTTGTTGCGAAACAGAGTTCTATCAGTTCATTGGTTGGATTTATTATGTCGTCAGAATAAAAGGCGGGTTTCTGCTGCAAACAGCCAGTTAGCGCCTCGCCTCATCTCTCTACACCAGTCTGGGAAAATGTCGCCATCCTTTGGTAGAAATGGGTTACATCAGTGGTAGGAATCTGAAGTCAATATTTTTTACTATACATATAAGCCCCAAAATAATAACATTCATATGATTAAGCAGACTATAAGGTTATCCTTTTTAATTCATCATAAAAACTTGGAAATGCACAATGATTGATATCTGGGCCAACTTCTTGATGAGCCCTCATTAATTAACTTATTTCACTTTTTTTTAAACTTTGAGCAAGTCACAGAATAGCACTCTAGTCAACGAAGTTGCAATAGAAAACATGAACTTATTTTCACTCCTGACTTTACCTCATAGGGCCCACAAGAGGAAACTAAGGGAAAAACATGTTTATGAACCACGGCTGATCTGCCATAACAAGATCTTACGGCTAAGTGTAACACCGGGCAATTTCTCACAATAACTTGTTTATTTATTTACTTGTTTAGCTGACTACTTCCAGTAACTGTCTAAACTGCTTCACAACACTCACAATATGAACTACAAAATAAAAACTGATGAATGAAAACAGCTTCCTAAAGGTTATTTCAATACAAAAACACTTCACTTGTAATGGTGATGGTGACACAGATTTATTTCAACTATTTGAAGACACTGTACACAAAAATACATCTAATTAACCCAGTAAAGGCATCATGTTTGAAAGGATAATAATGTTGCATCTGAGTAGCCCTGAGCTTCTTTCATATGTGATCGTGATATTGTAAAACAAACGTTCCTGAAAAGGATTTTTAAAAATACATCATACAACGTATTGAATGTAAAATACACATATGTGATTGTTTGTTTACAGTACTTTATACATTCGTTTCTCCTTCCATCTCTCTTTTTTATTCCTTATGAGGAATGAGTGAGAACATTTACACATATTGTACATTATGTTGGGAAACCAAACTTTCCCTTGAAACACTTCAGTGAACATTAAAACAAAAACGTTCCCTAACTGTCACTCAATTGATGATGTCGCTGGATGATATTTTCATCAGTCCTGCTTACTTACTCCATAAACTAAACGAGAGGGTAGGACGCACACGTAGCCAGTCCACACATGTTTTCTCCTCGCTTGATCAAAAAATATCTGTCAGAAAGAGAAAAAGAGGTGACCATGATCCTTCAACAACTGTAACAAAGCATCACACTGAAATGCACATGCTGGCACAGACTATATTTACCCGTCCATTCCCCAGGCTGTGCCCCAAGAGTTCTTCACAATCCAATACAGCATGCCATCCTTTTCAGCTCCGTAACCCACAGCTAGGACTGCATGATTCACCTTGTCTGCGGTTTTCTCACACTGCAAGCTAAAGAGAAAACAGCCGTGCTTTTGGATCAATAGGATACATGTCATTTGGAGAGTGAGTGGGCAGCTATCCATGCATTTGTAAAGGTGTGCTGTGTCACCTTTTATAACAATAATTATAGGACTGTTCAAAGACACAGAGAAACAGGAAATATAAAAAAGAAATTGAATTTAAGATCTAAAACTTCAAAAGCTGCCATCATAGTCTCCATTGTCCCAAAGCATTACATATGGCTTAAATGTTATTCTCAGTATTCTCTGGTAATAAAAACAGACAGTGTAACAATAAATACCCCTAACTTTAGCTGTGTAACAAATGAGCAAACTTGTGAATAGCTGCTTTATTTAAAGGTGGAAGCTGAGAACTTTCATACTGATCATCACTCTAATCTGAAACCAACACTGACACAAATAAAATAATAATAATAGTATAACAAATTCAAAAAAAGGTACAGAGGTAAAAACGCATTTTCATAATACTTCAGATTTCAGAGGAGGTTGAAATCTGAAATATGCATTGTGCTATAATGAAGGGGTAATACGATTTCTGTCATTAGAGTTTTTATTAGGAGGCATTTTAGTACAATAATCCTCAACCATGCATAAATAACTTCTGTGCTGGTGGATTAATGGAAAACTTTCATTTTTGTATTACATTGTACATTGTAATAACAATGTGCTTGCTGTCCTTTCTCACCAGGATTTGTATGTGAACAACAGTAGTATTAACACAAGGGTTTTGTATTGTGAAGGATGTCCTTAGCTCACCTGGAGTAAACACCTTCTTTGTAGTGCATAAAATCAGCTGTGACATCAAAGGCAAAGGACACAGGGTTAAGCCAGGCCACAGCGTCAACCATGGCTTTCTCATCATGCTGTGGGGACACAAGCGTAGAGATCTTCATACAAATCAATTCCAAAAATAATGCCTGCTGCTAAAGTTTCTGTATTTCAAGAACAAGGTTAGCCACCCAGAATATCAGAATGTAAGTAAAAGTTGTCCAACGGAGACGTATAGTTACATTCAGTAATATAATTAAAAGAAACTTAATTTCTTATATCAAAATTACTGATTGTTGTCGTAGTGTATGGACTTAATTTTCTACACAGTTATATCCTCCCTTGTGCTCTACAGTGCATCTGATAGGTGTTCGCATGAGTGCATTGATATGTGTGTGGTTCTGTAACCTGCAGTCCTGCATTAAGACAAGCTCTGTGTCCGCCTATACATTATCCTTATGTAGTTACAAACACAACACTTGTCTCTTACATTTGTAAAATGTGTTCATGTCCTTTGTTTAACATCAGTTGTGACAAAGATAAAAATCCTTTTGATACCAAATCGATTCAAAAACATGCACCAGCAACTCAGGTTGATGTGTGCAGCTGTAGTTATAACACACACATATCTAATAATTAATAATAGATTTCTGTTCTCAAATCTCCATCTCCCTGTGTGAGACCGACAATCATCACATAGGCTTTGTCATTTTTTATATATTGAATTCATTCCAGGCTTTAATGTTGACCCTAAGCACGCAGTCCTTACACTGTGGTTAATTTCACTTGCATACAAATATGTAAGCACTTGTTTACTCACAGTGGTTATGTTGACAACATCCCTGACAAAAGCAGCAGCATGTGCAGGCTTAAAATCGCAGGTTTCTTCCTATGAGAGGATGGACAAAATTAATTAATTGATAAAGTGTTTAACATTCAAATATTTATGAGGCATTGATCTAGACAAGTCATACATGGCCTTTGTAAGGATAGTCCTCCTCTGCCATAAGACCCTTGTTGTATTTGATGTACTCAAACGCCTGGCTGGGGAGCCCACTGAAACAAATTCGTGTTTTAACAAGTTGAAGACTCACACACTAGTATATACAAAAACGTATGTATAATGTGACGTAGCTATAATGAACTAACAACGTATGATAATAAATTCATGATTCTTACCCCAGGCATCCATAGTTCTTAAAGGCATGGGCACAGTCTATCAGCTGCTGCTCTGACTGACGGAGAAGGGAAAATGCATTAAGCTTAAAAAAGAAAAATCATAATAAAACAGTGCGAGAGCACTTCAAACCCAAAATGTGTGTGTTGTGTATAACTAGGCAGGCTTCACACTAATCTCACCAGAGGTATTAGCTTCCCAGTAGCGATAGCATTTACAGACTCCAAACAACCAGTCGTAGAGAAGGTCCAACAGCTTCCACAGTGACCCTACAAATACAGACACACAACATAGCTCAAACACTGATGTTTAAGAGGAACTCTATTGATTTCACACACAAAGCTCAATTACTTGTGAAAGTTGTATGAAGTCACCGACCTGTGTCCCTGACAGACATTTTATTTGTTGATGATAGAATACTGTATGTAGTTATGAGGAATATAATTCACTTTTTTGTTAATACCCCCTCTCTAACAAGCGCACTATTATCTGAGGACTCAGTGTAACTTATAATTAACACTCCTATAATAGAATACAGCATAACATTTAAAAAAGGGGACACTTTCTGCTGTGTTTGTTTCCTCAGCGTAGCTTATTAACTCTCAAATAAGTCAAGACACATCAAGAAGTTTGATCAATGTCGCCACTGCACTTTTACATTATTTGATTGAACTTTTTCAGAGTTGTTTTAACAGGACACACTTTGTTCCTGCCCTGCATAATAATGCCATTAGGATGGCATACAAGGTCATATTAGTTCTCCCTCTAGAAGTAGGCAGTTCAGCAGCACTACATTCAAATACCTGGTTCTTCACAGGAGTCACGACGTTCCCTCTCTTCCTCCAGTCTTTAGACGAGGGGTTCAGACGAGTCCTGCATGTTGCCCTTTAGTAGCTGAGCAGTTCTAGAGGAGACGTAAATCAAAGGATTGTAAAGGGAGTGTAACCCCTGCATCAAATGTGCTGTATTACAAAACGCGTCATACCTGAGGCTGTGTCAGGAGGTACCATTTCCTGAATTCCTCAAATGACATGTCTGAGAACTGATTGAGTCCCACTAGAAAGGACAGATTCAAACCTTTGTGAGAAAGTGCATGTATTTAGTAACCGTATAAAATGTACAGTTTGAAAGTGAAGAACTCATACCTGAGGCTGTGTCAGGAGGTACCATTTCCTGAATTCCTCAAATGACATGTCTGAGAACTGATTGAGTCCCACTAGAAAGGACAGATTCAAACCTTTGTGAGAAAGTGCATGTATTTAGTAACCGTATAAAATGTACAGTTTGAAAGTGAAGAACTGTACTTTACTTGTAAAGGAGTGATTCCCTGCATTATGATGATCAATGAACTTCTTATTTTCTGTGAATATTTGGAGTCGGTGGTAAAACTCCTCTTTTTCATAAACTTTGTTGTGCTGCAAGTCGAAAAGAGCAGAATAGTCATTTGTTTAAGTTAAGAAATATCCTTTTAATATGTTTAAAATCACATAATAGAACTGTACGGAGCTAATTTTCAGTCACTTTGTTTTCACTGTACCTGTAACATCCACTGACTGAAATGATGTTCCTCTGGAAGGCAAAAATGAAGCAATCAGTTAGAAGAGCAGCAGATAATGTCCATTTCAAACTCTCAGTTTTAGCTCTACAGTCATCTATATGAGGAAATGTAATTTACTCCTTTATCAAACATATGTGAGGTCCTTGTGCTTCATACGTTCTGTATCCTGTGTTCACTGCAATTCAGGGCTAAAGTGTCATTTTCACCTTCCCTAATGTAGGCCTATCTGACAGGAATAAACTTGCACTCTACTTCACATAACTTCAATTTTTGATGGGCTACAAATGCGCAGGCTATATAAATGCCCAACTATATAAATGCCCAACTATAAATACAATTTAGAGAACCGAAACATGGCCATGCAAATGTATTAGTAACAACCGTAACAACCCAACTTTGAGGAAGGGTATACACTTGTTCTTCAGCGGAAGTGTAATGTTTAATTTTAGGATTGATACTTATTATTTTAAAGCAAAGGACTGAGAAGGCAAGATATTTAAGGTTGGGAAAAATATATATTTTAAAGTTAGCCAAGTGCTGGCCTATTTGTGTTAAAGCTCCATGAGTAACGGAGTCAACACTTATAATGTCTTTAAACTCGTTTCAACCAGACATAACTGTAAAGACAGCAGTGACTAACTTTTAGCATTAACTTTCATAATAAAGGACACTTACCTTCGAGTAAAATGAATGGTGTTAAATGAACAAAAGTAAAAACAGTGCTGATAAACCACACAACACCGAGCGCCATGCTTAGACTCTTAAAGCCGTGACAGCGTCACATGACTCGGCTCCTCTAAGTCGGCTAATTAATACGTAACACCCACTTCTTCTGAACCCCCTTTGATCCCCCCCCCCGCGCAGCTACAAATACAAAATTGATGAGCTTTGACAAAGTCAAACACGTTGAGGAAACCATCCCCCCTGAGAAAGAATAGATTTATTAACAAGAGGTAATCAGGAAAGAATACACTTTTATACAAAACTGGAAATAACTACTCAAGCTGTTGAAATAGACTTAAAGATAATTCTCATACCACTGGGTATTGCTCACTGCAAACATTTGATGTGCCTGTTAAGAGGGTAAAGATTCATGTGCAAGGGTGGGGTTAAAATACAGTACACATACTGTTCTAGATATAGATTTGATTTGAACACGTGAAAGTGGTTCATGCCTGCCACTTAAGCTTTATGTGTTTTTCTTTACAAAGCCTGTAAAAAATACCTATAAATATTCCAAGAATAAGCACAATATAACTACTGTATAGTTCCCACATTGGAATAGACAGGATACAGAATGTGTTACACTTATAAGTTGCTTTCAACATTCGTTTTTAAAGTATCATACACAGAAAAGTTATTACAGAGTTGAACGATCATAAGGATAACACATTTCAAGGGATATGCATTGAACACATTAGGAAATGCATCAGACTGCCTGTACAGGATATTGTACACAGCAAATACGTCTGCGTCATTGGCAAATTGTAGAACAAAATAGTTTACATACTTTTGTGGTATATAATCCATTTCAAGATTAAGGCAAAGCCATAATGCACTGGCCGAAGAGGATTACCATAAAATCTCTGTCACTATCTGAGTGTAAAAGCTGGGAATTCAACTTCCTGAAGTGGCTCAATATTGATTACATCTGCTACATACACTGCCAATGCTTATGCTATATATACACATCATGTTGCCCACCAGGGGAGTAAGGTGATGATAAGCACAGCATAAAAATAATCCATCTCTCCAAACGGAAAATAAAACAGTCCCAATCTATCAGAAATATTTTACCAGTGTGAGTCCAACTCTTCCAAATCTCTAATCCTTGTAATTCAGTGGCTACATGAAACATCCAAACACATGATTCAACCGTAGACAAAAGAGCGCTCCCACTTCTACCTCAGCATTTCTCTGAGGTGAAAATTTGAAAAAGTGTCAAAATTTCAATACTTCACCATCTCCTTTTTTTTGAAGCTACTGTATGAATGGTCTGCCTTTTCTGCAATAGCTATTTGATTGATCGACAATCTATAATTAACTTTAGATAGAAATATTTACTGGTGGTGTCCGCCATTACTGCTCTTGATTAGAATCAGGGCAGAACTATAATCTTTAAGTTTTATTTTAAATGACTTATTAAATAAGAGGATTGGCGAATACCTTTATTATTTTAATTTTGAGGATCTATTTGGTAACAAATATGTTGCAGTAATGGCTGCTACTTTGATAAGGCTTAACGTTTGTATGGGAACTATATGAACATGCTGAGCAGTTATGTGCGCTTCTGTCTCTTTAACATCTGAGCAGAGAAGTTGGAATTGATTTTCATGTTATAATAATTAACAGCTCTCATCAATGAAAGCCTTTTTATACTGCACATTCCCATAAGGATATTCATAAATAGCATGTTCTGTTTAAAATGTCATTTCTGTGGTTAAAAAAAACATCATGAAATGGTATTTAGATAATAAATGGCATATAAATACTCTAACTATATAAATAAAACCGCTCTTGGCTTCTACTCAGCCTCTAATAACGAGTATACACAACAAGTCCATTGGGAATCACATACTAGAGGGGCACAGCCTACTGTGTCTAATACAAATAATAGTGTATGTACATTGTGATATATTACTCCTGTACACTCAGTATGAAGGTTGAGAGACAGAAATCCTCTTCATGATGAAATTTTCGGCTCAATTCTTAAAGACGCTTCATAAAGGCTCTCCTCATCCAACACTGTACTGCTGTCCAAAAGGTACTTTGCCACCTAAACAATAAAGAAAGAAAACACGTTTTACAGGCTCCACAGTAAACATGAATCAATATACCTGTAGTCAGTTAATCAATGTTGAACAAAATTTAAGGTAAATATATTTTCAATGATTTCACATTTATTGGTCATATACACAATTATTCATAGCGCAATGGCTAGTGAAATATTTTTTTCTTACTGAAAATTAAAAAAATATGCCAGGCCTAAAAAACTTCAAATGTGTCCCCAAAATTTCTCTAATATCCTGAAGGAATAATAAAAACGTATGCTGCATAATGTTAATTCATTTATTATCAATTCATAAAAAGAAGCTGACTGAACAAACGTGTGCTCATATTGTTCTTCAGAAGCTCCAAGTAGTTGTACTACTCAACATTTAAAGGTTAACAACTGGATTCAAATATAACAAACACAATGAACGTGTATGTATTTATATCTGCACTGTTGTTACCATTCTCATCTTGGAGAAGTTGACCAGGCTGTCCTCTGTGTAGTTGGGTGTTCCCTCCTCAATGAAGGCCAGGTCCGTCAGGTACATTCCCAGGTAAGGAACACAGGGAGGGTCACAGCTGATGACAAAAGATGGGTCAGAGAAAGACAGATGTTTTACAGATGTGGTACCAGTCATATAAGCAATGAATCAAAATCCTCTGCTACATTTTTTGAGCACTTACTTCTTTAGAGCCTCTCTCAGGTTTTTGAATCGTCCCTCTGATGACACCAGCTTCTGTAACTTATCGATCACAGTCTTTGTCTAGAACACAGAGAATGCCTAGAATCACCACCTTTGGAGCATGTTGCCTTTTATTTGCAAAATGTCCTGTTTCATTATTTCATTTTTCAGTTATAGGCAAAAAAAGTTAAAGTCCCCATGAAATGAAAAATACATTTCCCCCATGCAGTGTTTGTGTGTGTTAATTTATTTGCAAAATATATTTCAATAAAGCATGATCAGAGTATTTTACATAAAATGAACTTTATTTTCTCTTCCAATAAAATGTTTCAAACGCCTGATGACCCATCCTGAACTCAGGGTCATTTACAAATTATTTGACCAAGTAAAAAAACTTTGATGAAGCTAAAGATCCAATCAACTTCATCTCAACGTGATATCCCGCCTTCTAAATAAATATATAACAACTCTGCAGTTGGATAGTCTCGAACTTCCGTTTCAAGGGGACTTTAAAGGTACAGTTTTTTGGGAAGTATATTTATTGCCAACAGGAAAATGCAAAGATCACTTCTGCCCCTGGATAAACGTGACTTAGCTTAGCATAAAGCTTAGGAAACAGCTAGCCTCCCTCTGTCCAAAGATAACAATATCATCATAGCAACTCTAGAGCTCACTTATAAATAGTTTCTTTATTGTTAGCTTAGTCTGTACAGAAGAAATGTAATTGACAAGTTAAGAGTGATGTTCTGAAGCATTCTTTGTGCTGGGAGCAGTCACTGCACTCAGAAGTCCCTACTCTCAGTAAATGTTTAAACTTAATTCCCACTGATACCTGCTTGGAGACTTTGAGCCAGGTCTTCTTGAGGCGGAAGACTGAGCTGCGGTTGAGAGAGGACGTAATCTCCAACATGGCGTTGTAGTTGTGGAGACATCTGCAGATATCAGCCACCGCCACCCATTTCTCGATCACCGCCACTCGCATGTTGACATCGTCACAGTGCAGGATCTCTGTGGCGATCCTGTTGCTGATCTGATAAAAAGGACAAAAATACATTGTGATAATAACAGACCAAACATCTGTCAGTCCATCCATCCATCCATCCATCCAATACTTTTTCATTTCATAGTCATAACAACATGGTGAACACATACGTCATTGAAATGCTTTGTTGTTTTCATAATGTACGGAGTTCTCTCGTTTTTGTCGTTCTTCATCCAGCCTTGACCAAAGAACTCCCTGTGAAATAAATATTTTTCAGATGAGAAAAAACCCCTACCAACGTTCAGTCTTTGTATTTTGTACGTGTGTGTTTGTGTTTGTGTATGTGATTGTGTGTACACCCGGATGCTTGTGCACTCACTCATATGGGATAGCCTTGAAGACCAGGTGGTCCAGCAGTGTGAGTTGCTCGGCTATCTCCAGGGCAGAGTGGCTCTCAAAAGGCTCAGTCTTACAGTCCTCCATGGCCTGACACACAAACACACGTAATGAATTACATTGTCACAACGCGGCTTCATCACAAAATAGTCTAATTTACTAGTCTTCTTTTTATAATGCAATGTCTTTTCTCACCGTCTGTATGATCTCTTCCAGAGTGACCTGGTTGTCTCCGGGGTCCTCCTGAGTGAGAGTCCTTCAAAAGGGAGAAGGGAAAAGGGCATTTGATTGACTATTTTTCACTCTTTTCCTTAATGAAAACAATATTTGTTTATTCTTGATAACATGCACATTTGGCTTTAACAGTGTCGTGAAGGATGCCTTACTTAAGTTTTACCATACTGTACAGATGTAAAGCCATGAGCTGTATAAAAGAAGTGGACAAAGCCACTGTAACCTCACTCTTTCTTTTTGAAACCTCCACCTACCTCAACACAAGCTGTTGCCATAATGCTTTTTTTTTAGCCAGCAGTGCCCATATTTGGATAGGCATAGATACTGTTTGTTTTTATCTTGGTGACTAGTAACCAACATGCTGATGTGAAGAAGATTCGACACTTGAAATTAGTGTTTCTTTTTCATACAATCAGACTTATTTTCACAAGCAGCAGTGTCTCCCCCTGCTGTTCAAAAGAAAGAATGGTTTAACAAACTTTCATATTAGCTTTCATTTTGAAACCATTCTAATACTAAGTCCAAGTATTTATTGTAGAAGCCTACTTCTTCTTCTCCAGAGGCGCTGAACTATTTTGTCTATAAGTTGCTAACAAACTGATATATATTACATGACAGTATGTTCAATCAATCAATGATTACTAAAAACCTACCTGATAATGTTGGCAGCTGCCTTTCTCTCCTGTGTCAGGAGCTCTGGGTCATGCATCACCTCCTCCAAGAAGCTAATGACCCTCATCTTCAGCTCTGTGTTCAGCTCAAAGTCCTGAGGACCAACACAGGAACAACAACAGTCATTACACATGTCCCTTTTCTTCTGCAGCAACCTTGGACGAAAAAACAGAGAAATATAGAGAAAGAAGGAAAGGTGACTGTACCTGTGAGTGTTTGGAGACCCAGTGGCGCAAAACATTCAGGACTCTGTTTGTAGCAGCTCTTCTGATTACAAACTCTTTGTCCCCATTCCTCTGGTCTGTAGGAAAAACTGGAGCCACATTTAACACAGCCACAGTCAATGAAAAAGTTGTTTAATTTGATTTGTTAAAGCCAAAACCACTACTACTCCTTTCTCATTCCTGCAGATTTGCCTCTGATACTGACAGTGCAAATTGTAACTTAATTTTGAGTTAGACAGGAAGCAGCATCCCCTCATGTGACTGACCTGTGCTGGCCAGTGACATACGGCGGTACTTTTCCTTGGTTGGCGTGCCTTCATTGGCACCAGCAGTTGCGATTGCGAAGGCTGATGCGGCAGAAAGGGCACTGCGGTTATTGTCAAGCTCCCGGCAGGATGACACTACCATGCCATTGTTAAAGGAAAACAGGGAAAACTCTATAAAAAGAAGAAAACAGAGATATTTAAGATTAAGATTTAAGATTTTTAAGATTTTCACTTCTATTGATCCCTGCCAGGGGAAATGTCAGTTTTTACACTCTGTAAGTCATGCAACAAACAGGATCCTATGGACATACACTAATGGAGGGATGCCAGGGTGAGGCAGCTGCAGCAGTGCGTTGCTCAAGGGCACCTCGGCAGTGCTCAGGAAGTGATCTGGCACCTCTCCGGCTACCAGACCAACTTCCAGGTTTGGTCCGCACAGGGACTTGAACCGGCGACCCCCTCGGTTCCCAACCCAAGTCCCTACAGACTGAGCTACTGCCACCCCAAAAGATTAATACCCTTAATCTTTTTTTTTAATTGTCATTAAAAAGTTAAAGCTAATTTAGAACAGCTCACATTTTCCTAACAAACACAAAATGCTGCTGGCTCACTGCTTGGTTGATAGACTGGGTGGTGATTCTGTATGCGTAGTCCTGTAGGTAGCCTCTATGTATGTCATAAAAATAGGCTGCTGACCAGTGGAGGGCAACAGAGAGCTAAAATAGACCCTGCGCAATATGTGCTGCAGCTCGTGCTAGTGATGGTGTACACTCCACTGTGTCTAACTCTCTGCCTGCCTCCTTCACCCTCCTCCCTTCCCCCGTGCAGCCGGGGGCGGTGTAGAAGAACATGCACATCGTTGCTAAGGTACAAGGTTTCCTTCCACCTACTCACACAAGGCACTGGCTTCCCTTGTATCCAGCACCGTGGGAAGAGAACACACTGGGGATGAATTGTGCCTGACTACCTACGGGGTGGATGCTCCCTCTTTGTGCAGTGCGGGGAGGGCCGGTAGGATGTGGGTGGTTTTATCAAGACCTTATTTGGCTATAGTGATGGTTGTCATTTGCTGAAAAAAAGTTTGCTCAATACATTCTATTTAAGCAGGGTTTATTTCACTGTAGTATGGTTTGTTTTCCTCTAAAAAAAACTCTTTTCATTTGGATCTGATGGTAAAAATAACGCTGGCATGTTATTTCTTTGATTTATTGGATTCAGCAGGAAACATGATTTGGACATGTAGGTGATCTCTTCTAGTAAGAGACACCTTCAAGTATCGAAAATTCTTACAATATTAAGCAAAAAGACTGAGCTTAAAGGCAAATTTACACCACTGTTATGATTGTCAAGACAGCTAGTAGCTTCTTAGTTGAGTACAATGATTAAAAACAGGAGGGAAAAGAAAGGCTTGCTCTTTCCAAAAGCAACAAACACGTGAAACCCCCAAAGTTTACCAATGAACAGCATGTTGTGGTTTCACATGAAGATTATGTACCTGATTATTTCTCAGCAAGGCAAGCTACCTTTCTGGAAGAGCTTGGAGGCCTTAACTCACAGTCACAAAGAGACTTAAGCAAGTCACTGCACTCAGGCGATAAGCAGTCCACCTCAAACCCCCTTAAAGCTGCAATGGGTTACGGTTCAAGTTTTTATACTGTAATTGTTCAAGTTTTTATACAGTATCGTTACCTAAAGTAAAACTGCTAACGAGCAAGCATAAAAAATTGCTGATGGTATGATATTGGATGGAAAGGATGGCACCGGTGGACTATTGGTTAGTTTGGGTGCCCCATGTACAGAGGCTATTGTCCTTCAAACCAGGCTTTTCTTAAATGTCATTCCCCACTCTCTCTCTCTCACCAATTTCTAAATCCATCCACTGTCCTGTCTCTCAGATAAAGGCATAGAAGAGCCAAAAATGTATCTTAGATATTGGATGGAAAGGTTTTCCTGTTTTTCAATCTTTATGCTAAGCTAGTTAGTACCTGGCAGTGGCTTTTTTTAAATATATGATGTTTACTCATGTCAGAAGCCTTTGCTGACAGGTATAATGTACTACAGTTTGCCAGCGCTCATATTTTATCAACTAATTTTTTAAAGTGGTGGCTCAAAACTAGATTGCAAGATGTCTGAAGAAACGATTGTCAAGAATAAATATCTGCATGACAAAAAAGTTGGAAAGTCATCATAATACTGTACCAGAGTTTTTTGACTTGACATTCTTGGGTGTTGATGGGGACTTTGGAGGAGACATTTCTGCTTCAGCTTCATCACTCGGACTCGGGTCCTCATCACATTCCTCTCTCACAGACAGATCTGGATAGAAGTAGTGTTTTACAATCATAAAAAAAAGACTTCAAAAATAGAAATATATATATTCTGAGTGGAGCTCAGGGTAAGCTAGGACCAGGGCAGCAAAGACTCAATGTCTAGAAAACAACAGGAAACTTCAAGGATGTAAGGCCTAACTGACTCACCCACTTTTAAATCCTCATGGTCAAGAATCACGGCTAGTTGGATTTTACCACATTATTATTTCAAGTTTAAAACACAGGGAAAAGTAGATTCTACTCTTGTGAAAAGTACTTTCTCTTTAGACATCCTATGTAGATAAGTCCTGCTTTACACCCTTAATGGGATATATATTTTTCTGGTATTATACATTTTAGAGATTTAAGAGATGACAGTACACATGAACCCCTTTGACCTGAGCAAGCTCCTGAGACAATGATTCTGACCTTGCTTGTTGAAGACAGATTCCTCAGCCTTGCCCTCGGCTTTGGTCTCGCCGTCATCAGGGATCTTGCTGGCCATGGTGCTCGACACGTAGAGTTTGTTAATGTCAAGGGTGGTCTTACTGAAGGGTGACATGGTGGAGTGCATGCTTGCATAGCCATTGGGAGAGCAGCTGAGTGCAGCCAGGTCGAGGGCTTTGCCCCCTGTGATGATAGGGATGTTGAGCGAAAGCTTGCGTCTGCGGTTGGGCGAGGATGTCTTGGTGATGGACAGAGGAGGAGGGGAGGAAAACTTGCGGCTGGCACGCGGCGACGTGGGTGGTTCGCCGTAGAGGAGTTTGTTGTTCTGGCTGCTGGCAAAGAACAGCTCCAAAGAACTACAGGGAGAAAAAGAGGCGGGGAGGAAAATACAGTAGGGTGAACATTAGATGAAGCATCCATTACTTTATTTTGATAAGCTTAATCATTCCCAGTGACCTGAACAGGGGAAAGCGGAGAGGGGTATAAAATATGGGTGCATTGTCTGTACAGAGAAGGAGAGAGGGAACACATTAACCACAGGGCTCTTAGGGAGCTCCTGCCTCTTTTATTTAAGCTACATTGTTTAAGACAGCATCCTCCTTGCACTGAGAGCCACCCCCTCTGAAGGCCTATAAATAGCATGTCAAGTGACAGTGTGGGAGGCACGGGTGCTGCCAACAGCAACCAGCCCAGGGGAGGCCCACAGAGACATGGAGAGAGGGGAGCGGAGAGAAAAGGGGAAAGACAGAGACAGAGTTGCAGTGCAAAAAAAAAGAAAAAAAGCAGGGGCAAAAACAGTGAGACTGAGAGAGAGGGGGCGAGAGGGGAGCAACAGAGTGGATATGGATTCCACCACAGCAAAGGCTGCTGGCTGAGAGTGGGCGAATGCGAAGCCTCCAGCCCTGTATGGTGGTAGCTGCAGCCATGTTGTGTCTCCTCATCTAAATTTGTGAAGTAACAAAAGACAGGAGGCGAGAGGAGCAGGGATTGAAAGGGGCAAGGAATAGGTAGGCTGGATGGACAGAGGAAAGAGGGGGAGTCACAAAAAATGAGAAAGACAAAGCACAAAAAGGCAAAGTGGAAAGTCAAGAGAGGACACGAGTGAAGCAGGAAGAAAAGAGGAGATAATTAAGCAGGAGAAGAGAGAGGAGTAGGACAAAAGAAGAAGGAGGAGGAGGAGAGAGGAGGAGAGGAGAGCAGGGTCTGGGTGCAAAACGCCACCATCAATATTTAATACCACAGAGCTGCTGCAGATGATAGGAGAAGGGGAGAGAGGGAAGGTAAGGGGGGAGGCAGGGAGAAGACAGAGAGAGTGGGAGAGGGTGGGGTTCTGCAGCAGAGTGGATGGTTGCCATGGTGACAGAGCAGCGGAGAGGGGAATGGTCAGACTTGTGGAAAGAAAAATAAAAGTGAGTGAAGGAAAAGGGTAAAGAGAGGTAGGAGAAAGAAGAGGAGGAGTTTGCGAGAGGTGGGTGGACGCAAGACCCGAATTTAGTGTGACGGTGGACGGACGTCAGAGGAGCGGATGTGTTGGTGTGACCTCTCGCTGCCTCTGCTCTGGTCCCTTCTCACCTGGACAGACAATAATATCATGATGGTGCTACTTACAGACAGTCCACGTGAGAACACAGGCAAACCCAGACACCAGGGAGATCTCACTTTTTCCCTGCACTATTACAGCGCTGATGCTGCATCCTCAGGAAGAAATATGTAGAACATTTCAACCTTCTTCAGATGTCAATACTGTAGTTATAGGGGTTTGTGCTTGAGGGAAATTAATTACAAACAATTAAGCTTTGTGGAGTAAACATGTTCAATCTTAGCAGAGGATAATGCATGTGTAAATGAAATTGTATTGGCCTCCTTATATTTCATATTGGGTTTTAAAATTTACAGCACATTGTTTTATCTTGATACTTTAAGGTACAACTAAATCTGCATTTCATTCCTTCTCTTATTATATACTTGTGGTTTGTTTTTAACAAATGTAACTGGAGTTTGATGAGATTTAGTTTGGCTTTTTAGCTAGGCTAGTTTTTTTGTTTACTGGAATAAATCTAAGTGTCTCTTTGAGGCTTCATGAAGGCACAGTGGTGCTCTGAGCCAATGTCCACATGCTTACATGGTCACAGAGGAGATTCTAAAACTCCAATGTTGAGCAGGTCCATTGATAAGCATGCTTGTTGTCTTCACTTAGATTTCACAAAAGAAAAAAAAAAAATACAGCTGAGGCTGACGGAAATACGGCTAGTCTTGCAAGGACTGAAGACCATGCATGCACCTGTTCAAAATGTTGATTAAATGATGTATGTCTTTATTAAACAATAACCACATTTAATCATTTACATTTAATTCATTTATTCTGGGAAAGATTTTTATTTTCACACAGAAAAGAAGAAAGTTTGTTTGGAATCAATGTGTTGGACCGACCAGGCTGTTAGCAAACTGGTACTCAGAGTAATGTCACCCACCTTGGAAGCATTGTTAACAGCTGTACTATTTTCTGTACTATTTTCAACAGACTTTTCCAGAGCCAGCAGGCATGAATCTTCTTCTAAGTGAGCTCATAAGATCTGTGTTAAAAAAAAAAAAAAAAAGTATTGGAATCAGCTCAATCAGGGGTTCACTCACCGTGCAGGGATGGCACTGATGGGCTTCTTGTAGATGGTGATGAGCTTGTCCAGGACAACATCAGCGCTGGTAAAGACCCGATAGGAGTGAAGGAAAGTGTTCAGGAAGTCAATTGAGAGGAAGCGCAGGTCGGTCAGCCTCTCCAGCAGACGCTCCACGCTGGCGTAGCGAATCTGCAACACCTTGCAGGAGTTCATCATCTTGCTGAAGCGAATGTCGACATCATCACAGTACAAGCTGGTGTCCGACCTGCGGTGGAGTTTAAGAGATGTTAGGAATGTTACACTCACAGGGATTTAGCTCATTAGAACACTGCTGTGGTCATGTGGGGGTCAGTGAGTAGAGCATTAACATTGCTAGAGTAGTTTCACCTTAGAAAAAAAATACACCCTCAAAAAACATTTAAGAAGATTAACTTTAACATTTGATCAAAAAGAAAAATATTGGAGGTATGCTTCTTTTAGTAAATATCCAGCAAAATATTGTATTTATAGCACTCACTGTGGCGTTCAGAGGCCGCAGCATTCCTAGCTGTGTCTGAAGATGCACATTCACATGGAAAGGTAACCTCAATATTTCCTTAGCTTCAACAGTATTGTTCATGTATGTCTGTGTGTATGTATATCTTTGTGAGAGTAATTATTTGACATTGAAAGAGAGACTATTCATGAAAAGTAAGCTGCTTTGAAGTTAGGAATGTGGGTGTGATTGTTAAGTGTATAGTCTAGGGATGATGTCATTGTCAATGAGGGTCTTCACGATTATACAACTACATTTATGTTTCCAGTTTGGGCACACATATTTGTGCATTTTTCATGCATTAGTCATGTCTTTTTGTTATTCAAATGCCAGTCTCTGTTTGTGCATGTGTAATGTATGTGCATTTGGACTCTCACTTAATCATCTGCGGCACGGTGACTTTACTGTTCTCCTCGAAGGCATTCATCATCAGTCCGTTGCAGCGGATGTTGTCAATACACTGTAAGGAGCAGACAGGCAGAAAAAAACAGGTCACAAAAACAAGGAGGGGAGGTGAGTGAGTTCAAAAACCTTATAATATAAATTTGTTCCCTTTTGGCTATTTTCCTTTCTGCTTCTATCTGCCTAATGATTATATTATATTCCACATGGCCCCTTTTGAGTTCTGGGAGCCATTAGGGGCCACGAGGTACAGTAGGTATTGTCACTACCTGACTAGCTCACATAAACAGAGCCTGAGGTTTCTTTATCCTTTCATTAGGGTACAAGTATCTCCTGTTTATTTCAAATACAAAACTGATCTCATTATGTCGAGTTTTGGTAACAAGATCAGAAGATTGTTAACTCTACAGTAATTACCCAGGGTTATTAAAGCTGTCCGAACTTTAAAACAAAGCTAATACTACTTTTTCCTTTCTTTCTTAAGTTTGAGTCACACATGCACTTCACAGTCTTGCTGTTGATTTGTTTGAAACAGTATTTCATCACACTGATGAGGACATGCACCTGGCTGATGTCGCTTGTCCATGCTGACTTCTCCTGTCTGGATGAAGCCACCAGGATGACGGTGAAGGGCTGGACATCTTTGGGCTCCACCATCACTTTAAAGTCCAGGTGCTCGATGTCCTGGCCGCTGCGCTCCCCTTTGGCTGCAAGACACAAGATTCCAAAACTCGTATTTTACGCTAACAAGGAAAGTCTAATGAGAGCAAACACAATAAGGAGAAAGAGAAACAAACCAAGTAAAATAATCTACTTCACTAATGTTTCATTTGGAATAAGTTTGTATAATAATAAGTGTTTTTTGTTTGATTTATATATTCAGAAACATTTATTATGAAGAATGTCTTTGCATTCAAAAGGTTCAAATAAATAATTTGAGTGCCTAACACTGCAAGTGGAGGGGAAAAGTTAGAACTAATGCAAGTCAAAAATAAACCCCTCTTGTAAAAATTAAGAGCAAGTTTTAAGGGTTGTGTAACATTATAATACTGATAATAATGGATCATCTCTTTTATAGATCTCGTAAAGCAGGCTGCTGTAAATAATGGCAATTTTTAATCTCAGTAGAAAATCTACATGCAGCACATCTACGTATGTGTATTATTATTATTATTATTGAGAAAGCATCGAATATATACTTCATGTACTGTAGTAACTCACACTCATCATCTGTCCCCTCTGGCTCTTCCATCAGTGTGCAGTCTATGAGAGACACCACTCCATTCTGTGGGGGGATGAAAGGTTATAAGGTCACATACAGCGTGTTGCTTAAAGACAGAGAAAGGGGACACACTTTTAGTTTTAAGATTTTTTAAAAATAGAATTCTGCAGAAAGAGGCGGAGAGTTTGTACAGGCCTGTAGGGGCGTTAAAAAACATTAACAAACAAAGTGTTTGCTAGCTCAACTCAAAAACTCCCCATAAACAATCAGCACTAACACAAAAAGGTAACTATAGTAAAAGAAAAAGTGTTTTTTGCATGTTAAGATTCATGTGGATTGAGTCTGTTGGGCCACTAGGGGAGGTGACAGACAAAAATGCGTTGAGACACGTTTCATTCAGCTGCTTTTTTTCTGTTTTATTATAAAAGTTGAAATCTTTATTGCGAGTGCTGACGTAAAAAACAACAATTTCATACAAAATTTGTCACCAAAGCTTTCTCTGGGGTAAAAAAGACGATGATTACCTGCATCCAAAAATTACTTTATATTTTATTGACATTTTTTATGATTGTTTAAACAGTTTTTAATGCTTCTTTGTGATAAATATCTGTAAGTCTGATGTTAAATTACAGTTGCATTAAATGCATGGCTTTTTTCTACTGTACCTTTGTGATGTGAAGTTTTCCCCCGGAGCTGCGTGTACAGATGATGAGATGTTTGGAGAAGAGGAAACACTGTCTCTCTCCTTCTTTCTTCAGAGACAGAGAGCCCAGTCGACCTCTTGTGATCTTCCCTTTCTCGCTCATGGGCACCTGGATCAGAGAACCTGTGGAGTGACAGGAGTGTGCGCACACACACACACACACACACACACACGAATGAAGTTCACATAGAGACTGGTCCAGCAAATTCAAACCAAACTAACAACTGAATCACCACTGTCATCAAATGAACCATTTTAGCAGTGAAGCTCAGCTTAGTGGTGGATAAGAGCATCTTTGTCAGCCTTTAAATTCTAGTTATTATTATAACAGGTCCATAAAAGCCACTTTTAAAGCCTGTGTGATAAATCTGTAAGAAATAATTGGCTATTGAGCTTTTAATATAATTGACGGTGCTTTTCTGTGCTGGACTGAGCAGGACAGTTCATCCTGTCTGCTTTAGAGGCACAGAGTGTGTAGCTGCTTCTGGAGAGCTGTGTGCAGTCACCGAGGCTAACCCAGTTGCTGGATGGTGAGTAAATCCCTTCACATTGTGGGGCTTGATAATGTACAACATCTTATCGTCTTTTCTACAAATTTCAGGCCCAAAAGATCCAGAGTGGGGAGAATGTGGATATATTTGAAGTGATTGCTCTGACATCAGGGGTTAAAAGACAGAAGGAAAGTAAAGAGCACTGTAATGTATTATGTTTGCTGTTGGCTTACACTGTAAAAACTCATTTCTTAACAAGTGTGTTTGTATTATTCATTGTAAAGAAAAAACCCCAATTAAAGTCAAGTCCAGATGAAAAGCTTATTTCAAAACGTTACAAACAAAATGTAAGGACTTAATTACTTGTAATGAGTAAAAAAAGATGCCAGTGCAGCAAGACACATTTACTGATTTAGTTTCTTAAAATGAGATCATTATCCAATATCTTAAATTAAGACGTTCATCTTGACTTGTCAGGTGAATGTTGCTTCTAAGTGTAATTAGACATTTTTGACTACAAACTAGACAACTTCACACGTTAAGATTTGAGAGGGTTTTTTGCAGTCTATTAGCACCATTCTGTAGCACCACGTAGTATTCTGGCCATTTTATAGAAAAAAAATCTAAAATTTCAAGATCAAACTTGTAAACTCAAGGAATTAAATTTGTAAATCAATTTAAATTTGGCTATGTTAATTCTTATTCTGAAATGTTGAAAGCCCCAACACAACTAATCGGATATTTTTGAAAACTGTTTTTTACAGACTAGGAAGTAGCCTATTTCCTTATTTGTGAAACCTTTAATAAAGTATAACTTCACAAGATGCTCAACATTTGTCATTTTCGAAACAGGCGGCTGCTGCGCTTCTGATATAACTACAATCTAAAATAACAACATTAATCTCGTAATTCTATGACTTTATTCTCGTAAAGTCGATAAACTCGTGGTTATCAACTGATTACTATGTTCAAGTCATTTTCCAGCAGTGTTTGTGTGTCTGCCACAGAATATCGAGTTTTATACATACACTTACTTTGTTTAAAATGAGAGATGTTTTGAATTTACTAGAGTGTTTACCAGTAGTTATTATTGATAACCTTATAAAGGGGGAAATCAAACATTTAAAAAAAGTTTTACACCTTCAAATCATTAAGATTTGATCTTTTAACTTGAAACTGACCTGGAGACAAACTTACCTTGCCTCACAAAGGTTTGACTGGTGTCCAACAGCACTTCACAGCCCTCCACTATCATCCGCTCAATGGCGAGGTTCTTTCTGATGTTCTCCGTCTCACTCACCTCATCGTGCATAATTCTGAAAAGAAAAAAACAACAATTGATCACTTCAGATACTTTACAGTTGAGGTTGAGTTTATTGATAATTGTGAGTAGTAAAAAAAAACCTGACAGCTATGGATTTAAAACTATCAGATTTATACTATTTCCTTCGATATGCACTGCAATTCTTTTTAACCGAAGTGAAACTGCACAAACATACCATCTACTGCACCAATGAGTTAGCTTGCATCAGTAGTACAGTAGACAAGCCAGGTGCATCTCCAAACCAATTAACATCTGTCATTAGCAGTCTCTCTTCTCTAGGGTGCTTCTCTATAGGGTTAGTGGCTATTCATCATTTAGACAGATACAACAATAATGGTACAATGTACTATGTATTTTAACAGGCCATTGGTAGATCTACCTGGAAAGTTCTTCCAGTTTTGACTTGGCGTAATCCAAACTGTTTCTTTCCACATGCTCGTGGGGGGTGTGAGCCAGCAACTCGTGCAACGTCAGAATGTAACGAGGGATCTGAGAGAGACAGAGAGAGAGAAGGAGAGTGTTGAACAACTTATTAAAAATAGTTTGTCTTATTTTTTGTATGATTAAATGGACACTACAAACTATTTAAAGTAAAAGGTTTAGGTTTTTAGAAGCTTGGTCAATAATGTGGACTCCAATGTCCTTAGACTGGTAATTACTTGGCCATGAAGCCGTTTTAAGCAGATAAATCTTTTAAATAATCACAATGGGTTTGATTCTTTCTTTTATCAGAAAGTGTAAAACCCTTGTGCTTTACTTCCCATTCTCTAAAGGCAATAGTGCCACATTTAACTTTCTGACAACTTTGTGTGGATTGTGTCATAATACTGCAGTTATCCACGCTGTAAACCTGAAGTCTAACCTGGAACATGGGGTAAGTGAGGAAGGTCTCCAGCGTCCTCTCCTCACAGTCGGGCTTGGCCTCGTACTGCTTGAGCAGCTTGTCGAAGTCCCTGTTCTGTTTGCAGTGGGCCAGGATCTGCAGACTGTACTGGTGGTTCCTCACAAACTCCTGGTAAATGTTCAGCATGGGCAGCAAGATGTCAAACAGATCAGCTGTGAAGAAGAGCAGACATCCTCATGAATACAATATGTTAGTTTGGGGGTGACTGATAGAATCTATAAAAAAATTAAAATTAAATAAAGTCTAATGCTGAATTGTGCGATTTGTCGAGGGGTCTTCTAGTCACTCTTACCCAGCACAAGTGTGGGCCAGCTGGCTATCCGCGCCTTCAGGCCCTGATAGAAGATCTGATGGAGGAACATGATGGTCTCACTGATTAAACGGGAAAAAAAAAAAAACAGTGTTCATGAGATTTTGTTCCTCTCTCACTTTAACTGAAAGGCACACTACTAACACCCCCAGTGTGACCACCAGCCACCTGTTCAGAAAGATGCTGCTGACATCATCATGAGTAATGGGCGGTTTCTTGGAGCTGGCGGCCATGCGGAGCGGCCTCAGGAAGTTGTTAACCAGAATGTGGAGTTGCTGGACGTACTCAGCCTCGGCTTCCAGCATGCTAAACACCACCTGGTTCCTCTTCCTCATGCTCTCAGCATGGGGTGACCGGATGTAGTCCTGGATGATGGTCTTCCACTTCCTACGGCAAATCCAACCTCGCAAGAAACTCTGGACCTGCACAGAAAAAGATTAGAACAAAGTCAAGTTCGTTAAGTCCTTCATCTTCTAATGGACAACCATAACATGATCAATATCCTGATGGGACATTAAAACAGTGTTTCAGTGTGTTATTTAAAAACAAGTTCATTACAATGGACTTACATAATATTCAGAATTATGTTAACCAATCAAACAGCTATCATTCTTTACATTAAGCATTGTAAAATAGTGATAGCGTGTCAGTGACACTCCACCTGTCAAATGGTACATACTGTGGAACAATAAACAGTAAATCCAGGCTTCTCACTCACATCTGTATCTTTAGGCTGATGTTTGTCAATGCTGTGAGGACAAGCTAAAGGTAGATCCAGTTTCAGGTGTCAAAGTGATAGCAGTTACTATACATGATGTGCATGAAGAACTGAAGAACTGAACTTTAATTGGTTGGTTAGCAGGAGGACGTAAACAAAGCTGTAGACATGACATCAAATCTATAAAGTTACCATGGCATGCAGTACATGCTAGCATAGAGTTGTCTGCTCACACAACCTTTAGACATTAGCATTTGTTTCTGCTGGCATGACAACAGCAGCGTTAAGTCCATTAAAAACTGTACTTTAAGATCTGTTTGGGTCTCAATAATCTCCATTCCTCCAAGAACCATTCCTCCATCTTTAGTTGCTAATTGTTTCACTGTTTTCAACAGCTAGTTGCTCACTTGTTCTTTCTATTGTTTACTGTCTGAGTGTGAAAGACTTTGTCCTGCTGCTGCGAGAAGCAAAACCTGATAAGATCGTTGAGAGTGAACCAAGGTTTGGCACCAAAACAATCCTCTCAAAGACACTAAAACACTTTGTAGAGCTTAAAGTAACTTGCTTGTCAGAACTTTCCAAAATCTATTTTTTAAGGAGCAGACAGCTGCTTCAGAAGAGCTGCAGACAGAACAACCAGGCGACTGTAGTACACGAGCAGCTCCCTGCTGTAAAAACTGGTGTCAGCTGCTCTGAAAAAATGAAGGTTAAAAATAAAACCTGTAAGTGCAGAAAGATGACGTGTCATTAAAAACCTGTTCAAAATGTCTGTACATTTACCTGCTGCAGCAAATTAAACTTTGATTAAACCCTCCCTTCTTTGCCCCTTTCTACTTAGTCTTCCTCTTTGTATTGTTTAGAATACTGATAGAAAAGACTCTGTGCTTTTACACTCCTCAACACAAAGTCAGTTAGATCTCACCTTTTTGATCTTCTTTATCTCAGTGTCATCCTCGCTGGGAGGTACCTCTGGATTTGACTGAATCTTCTCATTATCCTTTAGAAGTCCAGCGATCTGAAATTCAACACATATCAAACACTGGTTTGCATGAGTGAGACAAGATGGTGTACCTCATGAATTTGAGACTTTTATTCTTTTGAGACCTCTCTGTGTATGTATCGTGGTTATAAATGTGTTTTTTTTATTCAGTAATCGTCCTATTGTTACCACCCACTGGAACAGTGGTTGTCATCTGGTCTAGTCTCAGGACCCGCCACCAACTCTAAAATGTGACCCAAATTTCTGATAACTTTAAACCAATCAGATTTATTAAATGAAAAACAGTGCAGTTTGGACCTCAGACCCACTTTTGGGTCAGTCACCAGTTCTCTTGACCACTGCACGAGAATGTTACAAAGTATTTATGAACAAATTGTACAAGCTCCATTAAAAATGTTATCTGTTTTACTTTATTTGATGTTTTTTTCTTTTACTCCCATTAGAACAACAAAGTGTATGGGATCAGACTCAACACAAACTGCTTTTAATAAGGGACTCAGATTAAACAAAACACACCAAAACCCATTATTAGTACAGATTTAAGCCATGAAAAGTGAGACAGTTCATTATCCTTTTCTGTTGCAGACTGCTGAATCAGGTACAACAGAAGCTGGTTCATTCATATTGAAAACAGTCAATTCAACTGGAGCTTGCTATTAGCACTTAAAAGAGAGATGCGTTTAATCTGGTTTAGACTGAATAATGAGGATGCAAAACAGTCTTTAATAAGGACATCCTGTATTGCTGGGAGCTAAAACGCTAGTCATGAAACTTCAAAACACTGTGGTTGGGAACCTGGATCATGAAATGTATCTCCCCTTCCCCCATCATAGACTATACTCTGTGTCTGACCACTTTCACTTACTTTCTGTTTTTTTCTCGGCCTCCACTGTGTGCGGTTGAAAAAACAACATGTACACATACACAGCAATGGCATGAAATTCCAAGGCAAGTTACCTCTGATTTTAGCCGCTCTATTTCGATTTCCCCGTCTTCTATCTGTTGTCGAAGTTGCTTGGCAACTGTTTTCTCTGTCTCCACTATTTGGAGTAGATGGAGATACTTCTGCATGAGGGTCTCATGCTCTGTAGCCAGGTTCCTGTAACTAAACAGACACACACACACGCACACACACACACACACACACACACACACACACACACACACACACACACACACCCAGTCATTAACACGTGTTTCAGGGGCTCTTTACATATCTCCATAGATTTATCAAAGCAAAGGCAGACCTCTGACCAGCATGTGTTTGAACCAAATTACTCACATCTGCAGAGTGCAGACATTTACACGTCCAATTCTTCAAATACTTGTGGTCTTAGCAAATCATGTGTAAAGACTGCCTCTGCATTTGCAACAATTCTAGTTCAACAAAAGGTTTTAGTGTGGTTTGAGTCAACATCATAAACAGCCTGTGTATTAAGTGTATTATATTAAGTATTACAAAAACATTAGAATTTATAATCCATACATTTAAACAACTCAAAAACCAATATGGTAGTATGTATCCCCTTTGTTCTGATGTGTCTTACATGCATGTATTACAGAGCAATTTGCTATTGTACAGTTAGAGCTGCTGCCTTGACCGAGAATCAATGCAATCTTCAATGAGACCAATCAATTGACCTTTTGCCATACAAATGCACACTGCTGACATTTAGAGTGATTGTACTGCTTGGCTTTCATGACCCGCATTTGTCTCAGAATCTTTAAGGGGCATTTTGCTCATTATACATCTCTGAGCACCATAAAACAAGTTCAAAACACTTTATGAAAAAAAGTTTTCAAAATAATAGCAATAATAAAAAAAGGGTCATATAAGAATCCAATGGACATGATCTCAAAAGAGTCAGGGCTCCATCTTACAGGGCTCACAAACCTACAAGATTACTTTGGCTTTAAAGGAGCAACATGTAACTCTGACACATAGTGTTTAAATTTGGTACTGTAGTCCAAATTCAAAACATTGGAGAGACCTATCTCCCCCCTGCCTCCCTTTAGTCGATGCATATGTGGGTTGCCATGTCGCGAACACGGAAGCTTCAGTGTTTAGCCAGCTCTGCATCGGTCTTAAAACCTTGCTGCGTTCTAACCTCTCTCCATTTTTCAAAAGCATCTCCAATATTTATTCTAGTTTGACCACGGTTCAGTCATATCTTAACCAGTTCGCTTGCCCGCTTCCATCACTGCAACACCTGTTGGTCTCAATCTGGCAAACCAAGGGTCATCCAAATGTAATGTCTAATGATATGGCAAGGTCATTTTACCATTTAATTCACTAGAGATGTTATATATTGCTCCTTTAATCAGTGCAAAGTCACGTTCTTCCATGGAGAGAGCGTTTGCACTCTCTCAGGAAGGTGCACAAGCTGTGTGAGGTGCTCTGAGTTTTCTATCAGGTTGTGTTCAATAGATCATTTAAATTGTACTTTAACCCCAAATATTCTGACTTCCACAATCCAATTCAAATTGGATTTGAATCTGAAAAAGACTTTGTATGACTTCTGAAGACAAAAAGTGTACTTTTGGCCACTTTCACAGTGGTTCCTTGGGAGGCTTTGTCCATCAATTCAATTCAATTTTGTATACCACCATCACCAACTGAAACGTTTGGATAATTATCAATTGTCCATGACATTTTGCCTTGAAAAATCACACGCTAATCTATAGTTGGGAACAGGTCTTTGACTTTATCAGCTCTAAAATTCCTTTGGTTTCTTTTTAAAGTTCCTTAAAACCTGCTGCAACAGGTAAAGTTTGCAACACAAAATAATTTCATAGATAATGTGATGATAAGTTAGGCCTAATATCTCACTGATTGGTTGAATTAATTGGCTCTACACAAGAGTACAACCGCACACCACACACACACCTTCCTTGGAGAACAACCTCAGCAGGGTGTGTGTATAGAGATGAGAGGTCATGTGTGAGAGGTACCTGGCCTGTGTGATAGCAGCCACCCACTCATCACAGTCCTTGACGTCCTCTGTGCGCAGCTCCAAAGCCTTCTGGTTGTCATGATTGAATGTGACTGTGAAGTAATACTGAAAAACAGCACCAGGAAAATTTGTTTAACATAAAATAAGACATTTTGAATATTTAAGGGTTTGAAAATGAAAGATGTTAAGTCATTCTTTGATGAGCTGCAGGAATACCTTTAAAAAAATGTGTGCATACACACATATGCATGTGTGTGAATGAGTGGGAGGGAATGATCCTGAGGGAAAAGTCTTGAGAGATTCATTATAAAGCCTCTGTGCATTCTGTCTGTAACCTGGCAACTCACCTCTGAATTGGTGGAAGCCTCTCTACTGACGGCATATTTTGTTTAGCTTTGTCTGTGATTCGGCTGCATTTCAGTGTCACAAACCCCTCTGCGTCTGCATCTTTTTTTACTCTCTCACCAATTATCCCTGGTGACCCCACAGCCCTTAAGGTTCAGTTATGGCAATTATGGCAAATGCACAGAGCGATATTTTCTAAAAGGCTTATCAGATAAAACCCTCAGATCAACAAAGTGCTGGTAATTGCTGTAATAGTGCGGACAGCTTATTTGTGGAATAAACGCATCAAATTATATAACACTGATGCAGTGTAAATAGACCCCCACAAATCCAATATATTGGATTTTTTATCCCTCCCAAATGCCAAGAGCAAATCATTTGTGAAGGGGAGTAATGTTCCATATTTCCTGATGAGCAGCAGAAAGGGCCTTTGTCAATAATGTGCTTCCCATCTCTTGCTTCCTGTGAGCTGGTGTGTCAAGCCTTTTAGGTAGCTATATTTAGCTCCACGTCACCACATTTTTTGTCACAGATACATTATCTCCCGGTAAGTGAGACAACCTAACCCATTGAAATTCCTTATTTAAAAGAATGAACATTAACTATTACAATTCCTCTATAGAAAGACAGACAACTTTACACACATTCAATTATGTAATAACTGAATCTGTTTACTATTGCTAAAATTCAGAGCGCTTAATCTGTTTGAACCACTACTTAATAGTCATTGAACCTCATATGTAATATGAATTGTGTTAGTAGACATAGTATATTTCTCTAGCTACATTAAAAAAAACAAATGAAAACCTAAACATGTCAAGTCTTTCCACACCACTCTGCGCATCTTCATCATGTGAGATGACCCCCCTTGTATTTCTCATAAGACTGGATTTGTTGTAGCACAATGCTGAGGCATGTTGTTGCACATTTCGGTGGCCCCTTCAAATGCACTTTTTCAGATGCAAATAGGGGTTGCCATAGTAACTGTGGGCTTAAAATGTAGCTCGCCTTCTAAATGGGGACTAAGAACATTTAAAAGTAGAACATTTCAAGGAATACAATGAGAACAGAGACACAAACAGTGAGCGAGGGAGCGAGAAAGATCTTTTGCTTTTTTGGAGAAGGGCTATAGAAAGCCCTGCATGCAAGGTGGCAGTTGGCTTGGCATCTATTCGCCGCATTGTCCCTCTCCCTGTCACACACAGATAAGATCCAGCACTCTGCTGGCCGTTCCTCCTGCAGCTCACGCATTCACACACAGCCCCACAGTTCATGCACTAACAGGCTCAACAGAAATCTGTACTCTGTTGTAATCTTTGTATATGTAACAAGTTTAAAGTTAGAACTCTACATCAGTGTTGCCTCAGATGACCTCTGCAGGCAGCTCATCGACTCGACTGTCTTTCTTTGTTTTTCCAAAGAGGAAAAAGTGAAAAGGAAATCTGTATGCTCTTAGACACCTGAGGCATTGATTACACTTTCTGTCCTTGTTTCACCCTTTATGGATCGACATCAATGTATGCTGGAGGACACTGTGAGACAAATACAGACTTTGAACCATGCAAAAAATGTCCAACAAGATGTACAGGTGTGGCTGCATGCACGTACAAGCAGGTACATGACTGCAAGATATATTGTAAATGACAAAGTGTCAGCATGGATATCAACAGTTTGTGCAACAAAAAAAAATCTAAACTTTATACATGTGCTCATCTTATTCCCTGACAATTCATGGCCCCACAAAACTAACACAAAACTGAGTGAATGTATTCCTGACACATATTATGTAGATAGACACGTGCTGAACAGAAGACTGTGTTATGCTAATTGAAGGCTTTCATATTCATTTAAGTCCCTGTTGAAATAAATTCACCAGAGCAGCCTGCATGAACAGCTGTCAGCGGAGATGTTTCTCAGTCCATATTTCATCTCCAGAATAGGGAACATCTTTTGTCCTGACATTGTATTTAAGGAATCAGGCATTACACATATCATCTCGGGTACAATAAATAAATGTTTTTTTATTTTAGTTTCTGTATTTTTTTTCTATGCATTTTTTTTAAAGTGACTTATTTTAGTTTATTTTTATCAAATAAGCACTGCCAAAGCATTGTGCATTTTTATCAGATAAGATGTATATGACATGCTACACTTTTGCAAGGGATTTAGTGTATCCATGTAGATGTTTTTTTTTTTCTGAAGGACTTGAACTTTTCTTTTATGAGAGTATAGAACTGTATTTTGTGTAATTTTGTGTTAAACCTGACTTAATTTCTTTATTTAGGACAAAAAAAACTGTTGCACAAGTGGATCCAGAGTGAACATCCGAATAAAATAAAACACTCTATGGCTTAGGGATAAGAAGATAAATGTTCTGATCATAAACCCAGCATCTATATTTCCAAGTAATTCAGGCACCTGTGTATGGGTGCCAAAAAACCTTGTTTGCCTTTTGTTTTTTTGTATCAGTTTGTTTTTGTTTTTGCTTACCCTATAAAGTGCAAGACTTTGGAACCCTGTGGGATAAACTTATGTAACTCAAAAGTTACAGATAGGCATTACAGAGTTTCTATAATTAACTGTTGCCTTTTTAAACGGACATGCATGGCATTAGTTTGAAATACTGACCACCTGTTGCCTCAGAAAACAAGATCAGTATGTTTGAGCAGATTAAATGACCTATTACGTTGACTTCTCTACCTGCTACAGGGACACCTGAAGATGCTGCAGCTGGCAGATCACATATCAGAAGGTGACTGCAGCCACAGCTCAGAACAGCTGGACCACTTCGATTCTTTAATGCTACAAGGTTTTATCTACCAACTAACCTTTCAAACTGTTTTCTGTAAAGACCACCATGCGCTCTCTAAGACTGTTTCTGATCGACACACTGGCACAGAAACAGAGGGAAATGTTAAACCATTGTACGCTAATCCGTGCCACTTTATGCCAGAGATATAAAAAAAAACAATAAGGGGGGTGGGGGGTGTTGTGAAAAACAAAAGCAAGCCTGTGACATCGTTCTGTTCTCATTCATGGCTGTCGTTAACAACCCCGTGATAATGAGAAAGCTATCAAATGAAGCAGCCGCTATGAACCGGAGAGACGCAGTTGCCAAGGTAGGATGCTATTAATATCAAGACAAGGAATTAAATCAATACGTCAAAACGACAGGGAAAGGGGCAGCTCTCATCCGCAAGATGGCAACCTGCAAAGTTTGGACGCTGGTTAAACTTACTCCCTGCATTTGAGCTGCAGTCCCTGAACATTTGGGGATGTCTAAAAATACACACTCTTACATAAAAAAAAAAAAAAATACACGTGCTTCAATCTATATTGTACTAATAACCACAAAACAGAAGAGAGGAACGATTAGATAGTTCCTGCATGTGTTTGCAAAGTTAGCACTGACGACTGAAGGTTTATCCTGCGGACTTTAAACCGACAAACACATTTTGTTGTCGTAGATGAGACGCATCTGAGGCAGCCTCCGGAGCCTATTTTAGTGCAGAATAGAGACAATCAATCAGTTAGAATGACGCCATTACGTAACACTGAACGTCAAGTGAACATCTCTGGGACATTTGTTTGCGTGATAAATACATGATGGGATAAAAACAGCAACTGTGTCGTCCGTGAGCGAGTTCGCTGCGTGTCGGCTATAATGGCTCGTCTCGTGAATGCCGAGAGATGGATCATTGTTTTTCTTATGTAAAGATCATCACAACGTTCAGTGAGACGGATTACCTTTGGCTGTGTTAGTCAGACTTATGGGAGCTCCCCGTGTGATCGATAACTTACCTGCTTCTCTAAGCATTCCTTCGCGGACAGAGAAGGTTTAGGTGACGGTGCCCTGTCGCAAACACATCCCTCCAACAGGTACAGTCCGGAGGGGCGTGAGCTCGAGTCGTTTTCGAAATAAAACAGCATATTCTGCAACAGTGCGAACCACTTTGAATGCCATTTTGTGTTGTCTGAGCTTTTCTTACTCAGGCACCCCCGCCTCGTGCCATCCTTCTTCGCCAAAACAGCCAGATAAGTGATATGGCCATCATTGAGTCTCATCCCTTTCTGCATTTTGGCCGTAAGAGGATCCGAGAGGATCTGCGGGGATTCTTACATGTTCTCCTCCTCAGTGCCTCCGAAACACAGTCAGACTTGGTGGGCAGCAGCCCACTCCTGTGTGCCCATCCACAGTTGCCACACTAATGTCTGCAGCGGCAATAAAAAAAAGAAAAAAGAAGAACACACGGAACATAAAGAAGAAGAGGATGTACGCTAAAGCCTAAAAGTTTAGCGTCCACCCGCGCAGATTCCACACGCTGGCACAACACGGAAGCCGCGACGCCGTCTTGAGAGAAAAGCCTTCTTCATGAGCCTGGATCGCTCATGATGAGGACTGAGGTGTTTCAATGCCTACACACACACACACACACACACACACACACACACGCAGCATCCTGCACTCACAGAGGGAGGAAGCGCAGTCACGTGACCTGTCCCTGGAGCAGCAGATTTCAGCACCTTGGACAGAAACTCCGAGGAACAACAACACAGATGAAGAGGGACGCAGCTTTTTCTTTGAGCAGGGCTCTGACACCAACATCCCCTGTAAACAGCCCACGAAACTCTCTCTTTCTTTCACACACTCTAAATATAATATTACATTATAATATAATATCATGCTCATATTATTATTATATTGCCAGCAGTGTTTTATACACCTTTCGAATACATTTACTAAATTGACTTGAAGTTTGAGCGAAAAAACTGTCTAAAACAAGTTCCAGTTTGAACATACTGGTATCAAACCGTACAGACTAATGCGCGTTATATTAAGATTCATCTGAAACATTTAATTAAATACACTATTTTGTAAAAGATGAATCCAGTGGTAACAAAACGTCAACAAGAGAAGCGTTTCTGTGATGTCTGTGAGCTATTGTAGTTTCACAAGAGACATTTACAGTTTGTAAAGTTAAACTTTTAACACGGATTTAAGATACAAACCATTACAGGTACTTCAAACAGGTTACACATTTAAACAACAAAACAGAGACTATATTATACCTTTAAAAAAAATGATTAACTTTGGTGGTTTTACTATTTCTTCTTCTTCCTTACCCCAAGAATCAGCTCATGACCACTCTACACTTATTCTGAGACCCGGAGAGGAGCCAAGACCTTAGATTGGAAAACCTAATTTAACTCACAAAGATAATGTTTACATTATTGAAGTGTCATTTTAAACAAAGGGCTGTGTAGTAACTGAAAACATTTTTTATTAAACCGTTTCCCAGCATGTCCTGATCTTGAAACATGTTTGTTCTTTTTCATTGCTCTCTCTCTCTCTCTCTCTCTCTCTCTCTCTCTCTCACACACACACACACACACACACCTTTCAAGTGAAGGGGAAAGGGATAAGTGTGTTCTTTGGGCACACTTCCTCTATCTGTCCATATTCTGTGTAAAAAAGCGGAAAAACCACTTAAGCTGCCATACAGTCAGGTAGACAGGTAACCACTGAAGGTGAACAATACAGATATAGGCAAATGAAATGGGTTGGGCTCAGTTTGTGAAATGCTTTATTTAAGGTTGTACAGTTTTTACTGTATGTCTTGTTAACATCATCTCTGCTGTTGTATCTTTACTCCCTTAGGTGAAAGTCCCTTAAGTCACTTTTTCTGTAAGTGCACACCAGCATCACAACACCCATGACTCCCTTGAAGCTGGAAGAACAGACCTTGTTTTTCCATCCAGAACATTTAAAAATAATCTATGGCCACTAAACCTTTGTCCTGGTTTCTCTCTGTCCTGTCCTGCCTCTTTTATAAAACACAGAGTTCACAAAGCCTCTCGGTGCTGTCCACTGCTGGTACATTTACATATCTAAGAGGGCAAGAGGGATACTCATTAGGGCTGGCCCATAATTAATCCTGGATTAGCATATTGGGGCGAGGACACACACAATGGTCTATTTCATCACAGGGTGTTTCACAGTGGGATCATAGTGCTCTGTCTGTGTGGGATCATTAAAAGGATCCAGGGAGGTAACAGGGCATAATTGAGTTAGATTTGACTGTTCTCTGGTATAGATTCAGCCTTTTTGTTCTTTTTATTTCATTTTGTCTTCTTTTTTTTTTAAAGTGACAGGTACAGTAAAATAAAGGAAGGAAAGTGGAGGGACAGAGCTGCATCCAGCAGAACGCCCTGGGCTCAGCTCCTTCCATCCCATAATCAGCCCCTCAGACAGGAGTGGTAATGAGGTGGTTATTCCCCTCTCCGACTCGCACTGATCGTAAAGATTATTTTTATGGCTTCCTATTATAGATGGTATAAAATGGAAAGTGACGCAGAAGATTGCAGGGACAGAGCGGTGATGACATTTGACAAAGGTCATGCAGGGGATTCAAACCCATGGAAGTGCGACCTATCAGAATGCATCTTTCATGAGGCCGAGCCCTCAGCTGCAGTTGATTTCAGACATATTGTACAACAGGATTTTGACGCACTCGTTCTCGGTCTCTGGGTTGCGGTTTATGAAATTATAAACACAACTGGGACAAAAAGGAGGTTATTGGTGGACTAGATTATGAAATTTAATATTGCAGAGTAGTTTAACACCATTGGAAAATCTTGTTTTTGCTGCTCCCCAGTGGTTAACCTTCTCACCTGAACTCAGGGATACCGTAAGATCACTTTTGGTTTCACACCCATCATTTAGGTGGTGTTCAGTTACAGACATAGCTGGAATAGTTTCTCATCAGGCCATTTTAGAGGAGCAAAGACATATCTTAGCCTTATTATGTAATAACATTATTTTTGCATGTCAAAAAACTAAAACAAATGTAAAGCAATGCCCAGAGAGTAAACACAGAGTTAAGTTATCATTTGGGATTTGTTGTGTTTTTGCTTGCGGAAGAGTATTACCTTTTCTTTTAACTCTGTTTAGGTCTTCACCGATCCCTGTAAAGAAAATATAAATGTAAGAATGTAATAATTTACCTACTATCAATCTCAGAACCCATCCACTATCGTCTCATGACGATATATGTCTCTGGTAATGATCCCCAACCTCTTGATAATTCCGGTGTAGTCAGCATTAACCTCTTTCAGACAATAACTACCTTTAATTGGTCTGATATGTACTTATTGATATGTCAATTCAGTTGTACAAATATTAATGTGTTTACTCAAATTTTTTACATGAAATCTAAGGTATACTGAAGTACCCAAATACCTGAAGCCATGGCTCCTCACATGCCTGAAAATAAACTCGCAAGCCAGTTTGATGACTGTGAACTTCATCAATATTCACACAACTGTATCCATCAATAACAATGAGTGTCAGAAGTCACATCACATTAAGCATGCTGTCAGTCCTCAGGGAGACACAGCAGTAATGCAAACACTTGCTGGACGAAGGAAAGCAGTGTTGACATTCAAATTACACAGGTCAATACAAAGCCAATTTAACAGATAAGGGAAGCTAAGATCAGCAATTTCAGTCATCTAAAAAATGTTGTCTCTTTGGTTACAGTCATGTTCAATAACTTCATGATGGAAAAGCAGTATTTCATGAGGAGGTTTTACTGTAAGATAGTAAGCATACTTCTATTGTAGTGCTCTCTCTCTCTCTCTTTGTCTGTCTGACTGCATTCACAACCACTAAGTTTGTTAGAGAAACAATAAAACTTGGATAATGTCACAACAGACAGATACATGATATAAACAGACGATGCGTCAAATGTATGGGAAAGTGACAGATTTAGAAAATACAGTTTGGGGCTGGGATGCAGTGGGTGTAGACTTTTTCTTTTAGTGCTTTCAAATTGAAGTATGATACAAGAATTATATAAGGTGTGTTCCTCACATTACATATCGTTTTTTGTATTGCTAGCAGAGTGTTTGTATCAGAGACAGGGTCCTCTGCTCATCCTCTCTGGTGGCAGATTGGTCGGTGTGGGCAGCTCTCAGACTCAGGGATTTGGCCGCAGCTCCACATGCTCTGCTGTGTGCCAGGTGCTACATGTAGGGTCACCACCTGGCTGCAGCCTCCTCGGGCAGAGCAGCATCAGAACTGACAAAAAGTGGGCTTTAAAAAGGATAAAACATCCCGCCCACACATTACCTGTGCTGCCCCAAGCAATACAGACCAATAGAGAAAAGTGACTTCTAACCTAAAAATGCATCAAGGAGAATTGGAAGTATATAATTACATATAAAATAAAAATATATATAAAATATAAATTTAAAAAGAAAGGACTTATCAAGTTCTGTTCTTAAAAGTGGTTTTAATGTGTTGTGATGTTTGCTTGTTTTGTGGCAATGAGATATAAACATTGTTTAAATTAGGAGGACAGTTTGCCAAACCCTTTACGCTGTTGTCTTTTAGGTTAAAAACAATCAGTCAGTATAACTGACAGCAGGCTTCCCAACAATATGACAATAAGACTTTAGTAATCTTTTATACAGTTTAAAAGCACTAACAGTACATCTAGGAGCTACACTTTGATGGCCAGCGAGTCCACTTGTCCATCCAATAAGTCGGGGTTGCACTGAAATATCTCAACAATTATTGGACCGATTCCATCCGGAGTTCATGTTCCCAGAGGATGTCTCTTAATGACTTTGATGATCCTGACTTCTCTTCTTCTCTTCTGCCACAATAAGGTAGACGCTCAATTATCTCAATATCTGTTGGGTGAAGGACTCATGCCTTTATCAGGATGAACTGATATCTGTTGGGTGAAGGACTCATGCCTTTATCAGGATGAACTGATATCTGTTGGGTGATCACTTCACTTTGCATGCAGAGCCATCATCAATACAACATTTTCTAATGCTTTGGGATTAGAATCAATATTCATTGTATATCTTGTCTGAAGAGGTTTTGTCTGAGGTGCAAATATGTAAGAAGTGCTGAAAGGACCTTGAATTTACAGAAAGTTGTGCAAAAGTATACTGTACATACATTTCTTTTTAAATTTATTTTACTGTGACCTCCAAGATGTTCTATTTTACCTTATCAACGACTATCATCAACCAGTCCTAGCATGCAGGGGGAAATGTTTCCAAATGTCCTACTAACTTTCTGTCATTCACTTGTCTTCCACCCTCAGCCACCCTGTTCAACCCAAACCTTGGTTGTCTGTCTCTACCAGAGTGACATCTGCCTCTCTGTCTAACAGGTGTCATTCCCACAAGCTGTGCAGCCTGCAGCGTCAAACAGCTGGTCCTCAGATTTATGCTAATGCCATGTAAATGCTTCATAACAGATCTGGAGGTGAGGCATACTAATGAAAGTGAAGCATCAAAATCAGCAAGAGAAGTGAACTGTCCTTGACAAGTCCACCATCACATCTTCAAATGTTACTGAGGGTCAGCGGACGGCACATCACTGCAGACACTGCTAAGGCTACAGGCAACATCTGCTGTGACACGTGGCTGCAACGACACACACATCGGGTCACATGTGCTTACGAACAAGCAAACACAATCATAAATTTGCACTTGCACAAACAGATACACACTAAGTCCTTATGGTAAAATGCTTAGACACAGGCCTGTGTTCATTATCATAATACAGTCGGTGTGAAAGACTCTTTAGCTGATCATATTTTGGTACACTAAAAGTGTGTGACTTGTTGACAGATTTTTACTGACTCTGCTTCTTTATGTAAGTCTGCAGAAAAAAGACATGACGAGAGTGTTTGCATGATGCCCATAGTGATTTGAACACAAAGTCAGGGCACAGGGTCAACTGCAGGTCAGGATGGTGTCAGTATGGCAGCACTACAGCGTATGAGAAACAAACAGGAAGAGGATCTTCAGCTGGTTCACTGCTTGTCTCTACCCCAGTCAAAATGTCACTGGGTCACTAAAAGTCCTTCTGCTGCAAAGGTTATGTTTGGTTAAAGCCTATTCTGGTCTCAATGTTCAATTTTTTAAAATTACAAATGTATCACATCACTACTTGTTTTTGACAGGGGTCCTGGTGAATGATCACCCGACTCTGCAGTCAGGAGTTGGTGGGACCAAACCAGAGCTAAAGGCGAGTGAATATGAAACCTCAATCAGGTATCATAATGAGAAAATCTACATGAATTCCAAAGTTATAAAGGTCAACTGTTAACTAAAACAAAATGTGACTATTAAAATAAGTACTATATAAACATGTGTTTTTTTAAGCTTCAGGTCATTCTGGTGATCCTCACATAGAAAACTGAATTATAATCAATATATTAGTTACATTAATT